CACACACACACACACACACACACACACACACACACACACACACACACAACCTGCGAGCCAGCAGCGAATTGTCTGGAAGGGTAGAGTCAGGAGTCGGTTTGTAATGGATCGAAGGACGTTCTTTTCAACATTCATGCTATAACCATAGTCCACAAAGTATACAGACGCGTCTTCAGACAGGTCGTTCACCATAGCGCGATACCACTCTCCATCACCTGGGGAGCAGAAAGCACATTATATACACACAACTAAATCCCCCCCAAAAAATGTATCAAGCCTTCCATGTTTTAACAGTCTCAAGAGCTGAAAGTGTTTACACAACCAGTGGTACAATAAATAATCTCACCAGGAAACATGGCACAACAGGGATTCCCTACTTTGGGCTCAAAAGGTGACACCTTTGCCTCACAATGCCGTTTCAAATCCGTCCCCAGCTCGATCAGCCGCTGACGGTCTGACAAACACATAAAATGAGAAAAAGTTATATCAAAGTATCGAACCATCGGCTATGATCATGACCATGGTATAATATCATGAACACTGTAGAGTTTCCCAAAGATTTTAAAGTGACTTGCATCATTCTGGTAGTGAGATAATCCACAGCCATACCTGCAGGCTCGTTGATGCGGCAGTAAAACTCTCGAGGGTTCTCCACGACACTAGCAAGCAGTGCCACTGTCTGGCCGTCACGGGGAAGCTCAGTGCAAGACCACACCAGAGGCTCACGGGCAGGGGGGGGCACTGAAGAGCACATTCAAACACAAAGGAAGCACAACATATACTGTGAGTCTTGCTGATTGCCCGCTTGCTCCGTGTATTTTAGAGCCAAATACATAAAGATGATCATGAAATGATCCAATATAAAGACAATGGTAGGAATATTTGACAGAATGTAGACAGACTCAAGTGAGTTAAATCTCATTGTGAGATAAAACTTGATACAATTTTTGAAATCAAAGTGTCACATCAATTTCAGACACTTCCCACCTTGTGGTTCCACAGCAGCAGTGGCTGTCTGGTCAGCCTGTTGGTCACTACCGGTGGGAAGAGGAGCAGGTGCAGCGAAACCAGCGAAGCTCAACAGCTCGGCTATGTTGGCCTGAGGATCGCTGGCCTCATCAATCATGGCCACTAGAGCCTTGTCATCTTGTGCTCCTGTGATCTCAATGCGCAGTATTCGGTTCGATACCCTGAGCTGCAGAGCCAGCAGACAGTCTTCTGACCAGCTCTCCTCAACTGGCTGCACCCCTGGAAAGAAGCCCAACGACAGATGCTTGAGAGGGTGTGAGAGACATCAACTTTTGGTGAATTGAAGAGAAAGACAGAGTGGCAAAATAAACACCTAAATGTGTATTTTTGATGTTTTCTTTCCACTAACCTGAAAGAAGACGTTATGAAAGCAAAATAGCACAAAATCATGTTTTTGCCTGTAGTGTCTCGCCTTAATGTATATTTTTGGGAAGGCAAGGTAACCTCCTGGGGACATTTCTGTACAATATAACCAATAATCTAAAGCAGTGTTTAATACATTTCTTTTTAAAGTTGAGTGACACTAGTGAGTAAAGGAAACAAAACCAATTAAATAATCTTTAGGCATGTGACTGAAAGCAGATCCGTCAAACACAGTTAAACACACTTAAGTTCTAACTATTTGCATTGCGCTTTAAGGTGAATACACTACCTGCTAGAACACAAGGCAAACCTTGCATTGGCAAGGCCAGTAGTGAAGTGCTGATAGGCTGCAGGTTAGCTAAATCCACTTCCTCAGAGTTCCCAAAATCCAGGTAGCCGACACAGACGCGTTCCTCTGATGAATAGCCCATAACTTTAGCCCTGTACCACTGCTTGTCCTCTGGAAGAGACACACACACACACACGTCTGAGCTTAGGTTCACAAAGCACGTCTATCATACTTTATGACACCATGTTGAAAGCTGAATGTAGACACAAACACACTCGTATTGAATCTGTGAATCGGTCGGTTGGAGCATCTTTCAGACCTGAGGCGTTTTCAAATCATGAAAACACATTCATGAAGGAATACACCAATCTTTTGGCAAATATCACTTTTTATTTCACTGGGAATCTATAAGGTCACAAATATTCATCTACCGATAAGAATTATGTAATTTTCCCTGCCTAATAGATTCAACAAAGGAGGACATAACAATGCCTCCCCCACTAAGGCCTTAAACCCTTAAGACTCAGGGATTTAACTGAGGTCCTCCAGTAAACGGTTGAGTGCGAGAGGCTGCAACAGCTTAAAATGGTGTAAATATGAACGGGACAGCACTTTGCGGCATCATATCATGTTACCTTAATGACACCAAAAGATGTTTTGTACAATTGTGGGATTTTATTTTCTGTTTCTATTCCCTGATTTGAACATCTTCCAGGCTCTTGCCTTATGAGAGGAGAGGTAATTGTGAAAAAAAAAAAAAAAAAAAAAAAAAAAAAAAAAAAAAAAAAAAAAAATCTATTGACTTGTATTTGTCAAAACGAAGACGTAGATCAAGTATATACACGCCCACACAGTCCTGAGAAGAGATATATTAACTGAAAACATCTGTGTGGTTTTCAGAGGCTTTGAAGGGTGATATATATTCTAAATATGTACATGTGTTGTACCTGAGAACTGTGCACAGCAAACTGTGCCGGGGGCCGGCCTGAAGTTCTGAGGGGCCGAGACCTGACGGCAGTGTTCCCTCAGCTTCAGCTGCAAATCCTGAATCACTCCTGTAAACCAAAAGCTCTCAAGTTAAAAGATTCATGTCGAAGTCCAGAGGTTTAGGTTTACGTGTACCAGATCAAATACTGCTTACCGGCGTTCTCCACCTTCTGTACGATGATGTCACTGGGTGACAGGAGGTGGGTGATCACCACAGAGAAGGAGTCGCCCACTGCCACCGTCAGTGGCTCTGGTGGCTGAGACCAAGTGTTGTCATCCTTCCCATCAGAGAGACGCCTGAAGTTTTCCAAAGACGTAGTCATCATGGTGTCTGAGGAAAATCAAACTTTAATACCGGCAAATGGATACGTTTCTTGAATTGTTCTAAATTGGTAACAAAAGCACAACACATTTCAGATGCTGAACAATAACATTTCATTCCTTGTGTTATTTTAGCCGAGGTACCGGTCAAATATTTGGGTATAAATTAAATGACCGTCTGACTTCAGATGGGATGGTTATGTACATATGGCTTACTTATTTCCTGCTGAGTTGGTGCGATGTTGACAGCTTCCTCTTCTGCATAGCCATGCTCAAGGAGGAATGTGCTCAATGTCTTTCCTAAAAGAAAAAGGAAGATAGTTGTCTGTATGGCTTTGAAACAAATCCTCTGTGTATCCCCATCACAAATCACGTTTATCAGCATTCCCAACTCCTACAACCTACCCATAGAAAGTAGGATATTCACAGAATGCACGCGACCATTTTCTTGTGTTTCCACCAGCCTAATAGTCACAGTCTTGCCGGCCAACAGCTGTTTCACAGAAATACAGCACTCGGAGGACCAGCTACCAGTCGCTGGCACCACCCCGGTGATACGGCACTCCATCGCCTGGAAGTAATAGATGCGAGGGTTAGTGTCACAATGCCAGCTGTAAGACACTGCAAACTGTCTGCGTGAATGTAATGGGAGTTTTATCATAACCATGAAGAAACCTATTTGAAACGGTGTGAATATGCACTCACGCATGGACAAAATGGCTGGATGTTAGCAGCCAGGGGCTTGATCCTGCCCACAGGGACGTCCTCTTCATTGCCAAAGTCAATGTAAAGGATATTAGCCGTCTTCTGGTCAGCAGCCAAGGTCTGGACCAGGCCTCTGTACCAGTTCTACACGCAAAAGATATAAGCAAACACACAAGTGGCACAGTCAAAGACTAAACAAATATCAAATTATTATTGCATATTAACATTTGTGTCTCTTGAAAGGCCTCACCAGATCACAGGAGAACTGAACTGCGCAAACCTCGCCAACATGGGGAACATATGTCGTCACTGATGGGCAGCTGTACGTTTTCTGAAGCTCAGTGATGATGTTTTGCAGAGCTTTCAGAACCTCGGGGCTTTGGGCAAGAAGGAAAAACCTGCCAGGGCTGTAGAACTCCACAACAGATGCCTAAAAGCCACACACAATAACAACAGAAAGACATTTGTATTCAATAACATTGGCTAGATCTGTCTCAACAGTTGGAAAACAATGCATGTTGTACCTGGATGTCTGTTCCATTGATGATTTTCGGCATGTGCAAGTCCTTGAAATAGACCCTCTGGATGCTGGATGCATCACCTTGCTTCAATAAACAAAGGTTATTTCAAATAAATAAAATGTAAAGCTTAACTTCCTACTTGCATTAGAAATCTCCAAATCACTGCAACTACCTTGGACTCAATCAGGCCGGCTCTGTCTCCTGTCACTGGTGAAGCTGTGGTTTCCTTAGGTTTCTCACTTAGATCAAAAGAAACAAGTGAGTGAACATCATCTATTGGACATTATATAATGAGTCAACTCTTGACTGGTGTTTCACAAACTGGTTGTTTATTAAATCATCACAGCTGACAGTGGGTGGTACTCAGGGTTAGCTTACTTTACAGGTTCTGGATCAATGGAGGTGCATATGCGCTTGTGTGCCTTCCAGTCTTCTGTCTGACACGCTACAGAGCAGTAAGGAGTCTTCTTGCAGCGCTTGCACCGAAAGATTCCTGTCAAGTGAATACTGGTTAATTAGAAACGGCTAATTGTACCCAATTTAAATACAAAGATGCATTGAGGCTCATAAAACCACCATGATTTTACTGCAGGAACTTTACATACCCCTTTTACAAGAATGTAAAGTTGTGACTTTAATGGTGACAATATTACCTTGCTGACCACAGAAGTGGCATAAATACACAGTCAGTGCTGGCGGTACGGATCCTAACACCTATGAAAACAGAAGAATGAAATTGTGGAAAAAATGGCAATGTGGAGAAAAACACATTGATTTAGCCATTGATGAAGTTTGTTACATACTGCAGATTGATCCTTGCTGACTGGTAATTTCTTCAAGTCTGCAAAAAAAAGAAAAGAGGAACAAAGATGGCGAGGTATCAGATCCGATGTAATATTACTGCCATGTTCTAGGATTAACATTGCACTGCTTATTTGATATTCGCACTGGACAGTTGTCCAAATTAGGAAAAACAAAACGTATGTCTGGTATTGGACGCCCGTCGGGTAATGATGGTATTGGTTTACCGTCTCCAATGGTGCCTGACGCGCTGCACACGGTTGTTGCTTTGGGCACGGAGTGAGGTCCGGGAGGAGCCGGAGGCCTCGGGGTGGAAAGAGCCATGGGGCTCGATGACGGCTTCCTCAAGGGCAGGTTGGGTCGAACCAGGTTTGGAGAAAATGAACGATACATGGCGGCAGCTGTAAACGTCGTGAATTTTGGGTAAAGCCAGAGAGTTTAACACTATATAACTTGAGCATGACACGTGCACAGCAATGTCGCTTTGAAAGCTAAAAAAAACAATAAGCTAAGCTAGCTAATTAGCGGCGAAGCAGCTAACGGTACGGGGTTAATGTTACACTTCACGGTGATTGATGTTAGCTCGCTATGTACATTCATATTAACTTAGCAAGCTAATGCACACGGCGACAATTAAACTAAACTTACAAGAAACGTAAGGTTAAATAAAGGTACGAGACAACTTAATATACAAACCCAAACAATTAATAAAGCGTTATCTGTACTTTATGGTTTTATATGGCACAGTCAATATGTTTACCTGAGGGCACGTGTCGGTGGAAGACGTGAAAGGAATGCACATGCGCAGTAGCTTCAATTGCGGTTAGGTCAAAGGGTCGTGGTGAAAGTAATCCTCAAATTCTTCTCATACTTCTGTCCCAAGAATAAAGACACATTCTTCAATTTAACTATATTTATATTATGCTGCAATATTGTCCCGTGACACTAGTATCCATAACTGATCCATACATTTTATTTTTTAGATGTTATTTGCCTTATTCCAAATTATATTTCATAAATATCGGAATGTCTGACACTTATTTTTTATCCTTTAAAATTATTGAGAGCATAAAATACTAAAAATCAATGCACTGGAGAGACGGCAGAGAAGGAAATAAAGACATATTTGCCTTCAAGAGCTGTGGGGTGTGGGTAAAAAAAAAAAAAAAGACAGCGGAGGTCTACTGCTCGTGTGTTGACGTCAGACTGATGTAATTTCTCTCTGGGCTCTCATTGGTTAATATCGCCTCGTCGTTTCTCCCGCAGCGGCCATATTTGTTGATGTGTCATATCAAATTGACTTGTTGGGGCTATCAGCTGGTAAGGTAGAAATCCCAAAGTTAACTCTTATCCCGGTTCTCTCCGCGTTGAACTACGCCATGGAGTTTTCGCTTACGGTGGGTGTAAATATAACCATGCATTATTTGTCATTAATGCTATATAGTAGCGTTAGCTACGCTAGCTGCAGTGTGAGCTAACGCCTCTCTTATCAACGTTAGCTTAGCTAGCTAAAGTAAGCAGTGCCTCTATATGTCAGTCAGCAGTTATGTGTTAAATCTATTGTAACCACCCGTTTTTAGTTTGCTGTGTTGCGTTTGTTAACGTTGACGTGTTTTCTTAATTCATTTTCGTGGTTAACTAAGCAGCGAGCAAGATTAAGTGAGCTTTGGCAGGGCTAGCGTTCAATGAACCGAAGTGTTAATAAAACGGTAGTAACGTTAAATACAAATGGCACATTAGCCTGCTGCTCGCTACCTACACATTAACCAACCCGATGCACAGGCACCTAAAGGGTGTCTTTTAACATGACTGGCTGCGGACGTTACATTAACTACTTTTGACAGTGTTCTTGCATGGCACCTGTCGCAAGGGCATCAACGCCATTGTGACGTCAGGTGTTTTATATGTTGTGCTTTCACTGCTTAAATGAGAAGCTTGCTTGTGTTACTGTATGTGCTTATGATCCATGTATCATAATAGGATAATGGTCAGCACAGGGCTTCTGAGTTTTATTATGAGTAATATATATATATATATATATATATATATATATATATATATATACTATACTATAAGTGTAGTGGGTATGTGCTGGGTGGGGAAACATGGTGTAACATATCATCTTTTAAAGACAACAAGTCATTGAGCTGTATTTAAAATGACTCGCTGCCAGCTATTCTCAGTCTCTGATTAATTGCACAGTAGATGCTGACAAAGCCCTTTTCCGTCCTAGGGAATAATGGGTTCAAGTCATGACTGGATGTTTCAGACTGAAACAGGGCTACTTTGCTCCCACAGCTTTAGTGAGCACAGGCTTAGTGGCTATTCATATCCCTAAAATAAAGTGAACAAGAAAAGTGTCTAATCCAAAAAAGGTTGTATTTCTTATCCTCAAAATTAAACATGAGAGCAGAAACATATGTTCGTCATGTTAGAAAACATTGTACAGTCCTTTTCAGAATTGTCATATCCACCCAAGTGTGTTTTACCATGCCCTCTGAATTAATTGGTGATACCTTTTTTAAATGATATGCAATGAGGTTGTGTAATAATCTTAAATACTTATGACATTCTGCACCACACTCCTGCAAGTTTAACTACGTCACCGGTGTTGACAGGACCACACCTCTGAGTGTGTGTCTGTTGGCTATGTCTTTGAGGTATGTGATCATTTTGAAAACGGAGAACAAACATCACGCTCAAGACATCAAGGATACGATTGTATCTAATGACCAGAAAGGCACACTGTGCAAAAAGCACAGGGCTGCTGAACTGGTGATGTCCAGCAATTTTAGGCTGTTCATAGAAAAACTGTTGTCCCATGATGTATGAAAATCTCAGTATTGTTTTTGTCTTGGCTCCATCTCAGTCTCCCTCTACTCTGTCTCTGCCAGATTTGAACCAGAGAGGGACCATGGAACAGCCTGGTCCTGCGTCAGATACACACATGATGGACGAATCAGAGGTTGAGTCGGTGTCAGAGGGGAATCGGCCTCACAACAGCACATCTGACGTAAAAGAAGAGGAACAAATCTTTCACGACACTGCAGATGTGGCAGAAAAGTGCAGTCAGGCAGAAGACGAAGCAGAGCCTGACAGTGAATTACTCAATACTGCGACAGATGTACCGACAGACATAAAGACAAAGTCGGAATCTCAAACATGCAGTCGGGAGCATGAAGATGGGAGTGAGCTGGATGCTGATGACAGCTGTGATAGAAGTGCAGTTGCCATGGATGGCGGGATACCTTCACTTTCCGATGAGGCTGGAGGAGCTTTGATAGCCCCCGTAACCACTTTGGATGATGTGGTAGAAAGCTCTCCTCCTGTTCTTGAAGGAACAATTGTAACCATATTGACCTTTGATGAAGTGAAGGTTTCTCATGCCACCACTCCAAACGGCAACGAGCAGCCATCGGTCTTGATTAGAAGTTGTTCCACAGATCCATCGCCTGCCGATGATAGTGGTTCAGCTGAGAGTCCGTCATCCTTTTCTTCCCAAAGTGCTTCCAAAAACTCCTCTACCGACTCCACAGCCACCTCCGGGTTCTGTAATGGCCCTTCTACTCCCAGTTCCGACACCGTCGGCTCCTCCCTTGCGTCCAGCCCACAAACCGATGCCGACACCTCAGCCCCCTCACATCCATTGTTGAGTCCGTATGACACCGATTGCAGCCGAAAGCTTATCTCCCAAATCCAGCGCTCGCTGTCACAGGAGTCGCTGCTGGATGAGCTGGAGTCAGAGCTGTTGGCTTGTCAGCTGCCTCGGGGGGAAAGCGGAGGGGAGACGAAAAGGAGCGCACCCGTCAACGGTCTCCCGACAGACCAAGAGGACTGCATTATGGTCTTTGAGAAGTGTGTGCAATACAAGTATGCACAGCAGGAGAAGTCCATTCATAGGTAAACTGCTATTTAAAATAGATGCACTATGTTGTCAGTTATTAGATTCATCTATGTCTCTCTATTCTCTGTTTATATGCTGCCTAGTTTCGCTGATCATGTACTAGGCCACCTTCATCGCGTCATTTTAAACTGCTATTTGTACAGTACTTAGCTTCCATTGTAATGAGTCAGCAAGAGGTTAACAAACTTTCTGTTGGCTGTTGCTTTTCTTTCACCTTTTAATTATAAAGCTGTCTTGATTAAGCGGCCACACAAGAATAATTGTTTCAAAGCCCAAGCAGTGTTTTATGCAGTCGTGAAACAGGACTTTTGGGCAAAATTCGCAGAATTTTCCCCTCCTGCTATTTCTTCTGGCCTTAATAACAACAGTCTTAATTCTTCAGTACTTTGACCTGATCGGTATAGTATGCTAATACGTTTGTGTGTGCTGCTTGTTTGTGTATATACAGGCTGCTTGAGGAGAACAAGAGGCACCAGGAACTGATCCTGGGTATCTGTTCAGAGAAGGACAACATGAGGGAAGAGCTGAAAAAGAGGGCAGAGACGGAAAAGCAACACATGGCCACCATTAAAAAGGTTTGTCTCATTCTCTATGTTCTATTCACATTGTTCATGGTCATATGGCACCAACTGTTTTGGAGCACAAAGCGATGTGCTCTGTATCTGTGCCTCGGTCCAAAACAAGAGTATTCTGAAATACTGAGCTATGTTTGTCCTGCATGTCTCTCCAAGCTATTTTTAATCACTCTTTGAAAACAATGGAAGCCTATTTGAAAAATGCTTGTCATGAACAAGGACGTGTTCCTCTGCGATGTTTTGTCTGACTTCCTGTCTTCTGACATTGACTTTTGCTAATTGTGATAACATAGCACCTGCATTTTTGCAAATAGTTTAATTTTTTGCTCTACAACATTTCGTGTTGAGGACCGTAAAACGTTGCTCCACATCAGCATTAAACATCAATGACTTATCAGAGCATTGCTCTTGACCTGCTCCATGTCAATATTTTTAGACTTTTTTTCTTTTGTGTGTGTGTGTGTGTGTCGGATTTGCCAAGCTAACCATCTACCTACTAGCGCACCAAAACACAAGTATTCTCCATTCATTGGATCTGGGCTAGCATTGCTGTTGCCATAGAAGGAACAATAATTGAATTGTGCTCTCTTGGTAATGGTGTTTGTGTAAGCAGAAGGGTGTAGGAGGGGTTTTCATGTATGCGTTAATCCCTTTTCTTTTTCTCTCCAACCATCATATGTCATTATTTTAGGCTCATCTTGCCACAGATACGTCTCCTGGAACACTATGCTTCATTGCCTTCCTCTTCCTGTGCCTGCTGTCTTCATTTATTTTTGCCTCCGAAACATTTTTCATCCGGCGTCATCCTGTGAAGCGGGGTAGCACAGGTGTGGCCCGAGTCTTAAATGTTGCCCAACAAGTTGCTTATCCTTTTATACTCCCTGTTTCTGCAGTTGGAGGGCAGGGTGGAGGAGCTGCTGAAAGAACTTAAGGAGTCGCGGGATAAATTGATTCATCAGGACCAGGCAGCAAAGGCCGCCCTCCAGCAGATGCAGAAGGAAGTGTCCTACAGGCTGGAACAGGTAGAACTGGGTCTTTCATGGGCGGCCCCAGTCTAACCCTTATTTGCATGTCTGGCCTTATTACAATATACCCAGTCCAAGGGCAGTTTGGGACTATGGTAGAAAACTAAAGTATACATTTTAATGTAATTTGAATCTCAGTTTTGCCCATGTGTATTTATATATACTGTATGCACTAAAGAATTGTATTCATGTGCACACACCCCTCTTCAGTATCTGTAGTATCTCTATGTACCGAGATTAAGCGTGTGCATCAATAGCACTGTCCTCGAGAAACCTGTACCACCTTACAGAAAGGAAGGTTGTATTTATCTTCAGATTTCAGTTAGTGCTAAAGCTGAAAAAGCTCAAAAAAAGGTTACTCACAACTAGCCAAAAATACAGTCCATTGATTTCTGCCACACATTGAGTCCAATGTTTGTACTAAGCTAGCAGCTGAGTCTTTGACACCAAACTTGTTATTGCAGATTTAATCACTGTAGTGCAGGAGAGCATGTTTTATATCCAATAGATTCCACACCTGGCAGAAACCATGTTGGGCACTTTTCTCTTGACAGTTTTGTCACACTTCCTAACTTTTAATTTCACTGTTCAGTGAACAGTAAGTGGTACATTTTGCACTCGGTTGTCCTCTTTTACCCGTTCCCTTATATCAGTCTTCCCTTAAGATGGTTACCGAGTCCTAATCAACTGTTGTCCCTGAGGTTTGAAACATTTGTTCTGTTACTAAATCTGTGCCACCCTACTGATAATGTCCTCGTTTTTCAAATATAGTTTTTTATTTAAGGTGCACATTGTGATGCCTGATGCATGAAAGGTGCCATCTCAACACACTCACAGCAACTCTGATACAGTTTCTCCCTCCTTCTCTTGCTCTCCTGAAAGTCCAGCTTGTTAGAGCTTGCAATGAAGATTGCGCAAAAAGCATAAAACTGACAAAAAAAAGAAATGGCACATGAGCATCTCATTGGCATGAGGAATGAACACACAGGTGTGAGAAAAGCAGTAGTGTGTTCCACAGTGTGCCGTGGTCAATGAAAGGAATATCTATAATGAAAATAATTGTTAGTTTCAGCCCTATAAGCCAATATGGTATTTAGAAAGTCTGGGTGCATTCATGATCCAACAGTACAAGCAGATCAGTGACTGAAGTGGGGGAAATTGTTTTAAACCTAATTCATGATATAAACCATCATTTCAGGTGGGCAAGAAGTGTGACGAGGCACGCCAAGAGAAGGATGCCATGGTGATGAAATATGTGCGGGGGGAGAAGGAGGCCCTGGACCTGAGGCGAGATAAGGAGGGTTTGGAGAAGAGGCTGAGGGAAGCCACCAAGGAGGTCGACCGCCAGGCCCTCCGAGGAAACCAGCTGGCTCAGGATAAAGGTCGTCTGCAGCAGCTGTACGATGCGAAGGTAAATACTGCGTCCGTCTTAAGAACCTCGCTAAACCATTTGTAGCAGGACATAAAGACTCGACAACGGCTCTGCTTAAGTTCACCTCTGACTAAAGTAAAACTTTTATATGGTGCGATTGACCATTTGAACTCATTGCAGTGTGCTTTATTTGCTAAATTCATTGAATTTAGTATAATTTGCCATGAGAGACATGATAAACATAGAAAGCCGTCCCACTCAATGACTTCAAAGATTGTATCTCGCTCATCCTATTACACTGGATTGAGTCATCTATCTTAGCAGTGTTGGATATCCCACTCGGACCTTATTATCATATAAATATTGGGGAATTAGCAAGGGGAAAAACACGAAGCCTGGTTATTTAATAAGTATCTCAGCTCAGCCAAAGATCCATTTGCTGTCCTCTCCTCCTGATGATGTTCCTTCACTCATTTCTCTGTGCTCTCAGGAAGGCGAGGTGAGCCGGTTGACTCGAGAGGTGGAAAGGTTGAAGGAGGAGATCAACTCGCATCTCATCAAGGTGAAATGGGCCCAGAACAAACTGAAGAGTGAGGCGGATGCACACAAGGTAATGTATCTGATACGTTGTGTTAAAACATGTTACTTATCAAGCAATCCTGCAAACAGAAAGGCGGTCGAACAACAAGAAACAATTTCACACCGCAAATGTGCTCTATAATCCAATCAATGTTTTATAGGCAAACATAAGGAAACACCATTTTTTGTTAATCACTTGTTCATAATATCCGTGTGCTTTGGATGCTATTATTGATGAATCTGAACATGCTGCAGACACATTTGAATCAACTGAATACAAATCTCTACGTTTACACATTTACACGTCTAATAAGGTCGACTACATGAAGTTGTTTCAGCTCCAGTATATAGTTGACACATTGCCCATATCAGTTTGAATGATGCAACTTAAATTTCTGGTTGATTTTGTTCATTTAGTCTAGAAAGCACGCCTGTTGTTTGTCAAAGATGCAGAAGTATTTCCAGGAAACACAAATGACAACCCCTTCAGTCATTCTATCTGCAGCCGCCTCATAAAAACCACGATTACTGTAGATGTGTCTTCAGATTCAAGGGCAAAATTAAATGGGGTGAAAATGGTACAGTAATGATCCTGCAAGGAAATCATCATTAACACTGTTGCTATTTTTGAAAATGTCTATTAAGAAATAATGCTTTTTATGTTTACCTGCCTCCAAGCAAATGCACAACAATGAACAGAGGAAAAGGCAAAAAGCTCAGCCGTTGCTCAAGGCCTCAGGAGCTGAGCCGTGTGTGTGTGTGTGTGTGTGGGTGGGTGTGTGTGGGTGTGGGTGTGTGTGTGTGTGTGCCACTCTGTCTGCACAAAATCCATATGCATTTACCAGGAAAAGAAGTCACAACAGGAACATTTTGCAAATCATTACATGGCTTTATACAATACCGGCTTGGCTTTGAAGTGTCATAATTACAGTTTTATTAACTGTGTGCAGGAAACGAAAGACAAACTGAGAGACACCTCTTCCAAGTTGGCGCAGGCCAAAGAAGAGACTGAACAGATCCGCAAGAACTGCCAGGACATGATCCGAACATACCAGGTCTGTGATATTTCTAACGTAGAAGTATTAGTTTGCTCATGACCAATAATTTGAGCAAATGTGAAACATCTCTGTGCGTATGAGAAACTAGGTATGTCTGGATTTGTTGGATGTAGATAGAGATTGCGTGATTATTTTTTTGGCAGTGTCACTTATTGGACTGCAGTCGGTTAGCTCACTCACTGAAGGAACTAATTCAACAATTACATTAATCAAATCTGATTGGTCAGTGACACATGAGGTAAGAAAAACAACACTACTGAATACTGTACTCTCAAATACATCGACTGAATAAAGCTTTTTTACATACATTTTTAAAAGTAGAATATAAACATGAAACTAAACTTGATTGGTTCTGCTTCAGGGGAAAGGCAGTTTTCATTTATACCTTGGGATGGTGGTAGAGAGCTGCTTCAGAGTTCTCTGTGTGCTAGTTTGAGCTATTGTATTCACCAGTGGTGTGTTATACGCAGAGCACACACAGACAACAGGGACAGCATACGACAGAACAAGACACCAAAATGAAACGACATGTCGAGAAGGTGGTAAAGAAATGTGATAAAAGTTAAATAAGACCAGAAAAAGCCCCAGAAGTCTTTGTTGCAAACATGGAAATAATATTTTGGTGTCTCATTGTCATTATCAGATTCTCTCTCCCATGCCTTATGTTTCTCACACACACACACACACACACGTCTCTTTCTTCACGTCAGCCCCTCTTTACCGGCACATTCTCTCTTTCACCCTCATCATCGTTGTCTTGTTTTTGAATCTTTCTACCCCTCCCTCCTCCAGGAATCGGAGGAACTCAAGTCCAACGAGCTGGATGCTAAACTGAGGGCGACCAAAGTAGAGCTGGAGAAACACAAGCAGGAACAAACACAACAATTAGAGGTGCCAGCCACTGTGCACACATACAAACACTTTCTCACTCATCTTATCACAATAAGCTAAGCAGCAGTAGTAGTAGTAGTTTAATTATGTGCTTACTGCTTTCTATTGTTGGTGAATCATTTTTCTATTTGCATCTATGATCAACCAGAAATAGAAAATAATACAGGTTTACTATTGATTCAAAATGACACATACATTTTGTTCCGTTGTTCATCCTTTTATTGATGCTTTTGAAGCTCTTCTAGTAATTTTCAGCTGTTTTGAGAGGTGTAATTGCCCCAAATAGGAATGAGTAACAAACTGGCACATAGGCTCTACAGGCAGACACTCATGCACACAGGCACAGACTCGATCCAAACACAATGGCCTGTTTTGCTCTCTGCTTCATTCTGAGGGGAATCGCTCTTTAAAAATACATGGCCTAGAAATAATCAATATGAAGCTGCGGGTTTCAACAACAACCCAGAGGACGTCACTAATTTCTTGCACATCCTGGTTCGTTTATCCAAAGTGTTTACACGTTCCTTAAAATTGAAGTCACAAATGTCGGATCAGTAGCTTGTCTTGAATTTGAGTTGAGGATTCATTTTAGCTGAAATGTTTGATTTTAACCTATTAATTTGGACATAAAAAGATGAATCTGATGGACTTTAACCCTGAGGGGATGTGTACAGTATGTTGTGGGTCCATCACTGTGTGTGGATTGTTTTACAAACGTCGGACCTCAGCAGATTTTGCTGCCCCGCTGATGAATGAATTGGTCCAAATCTTTGTTTACGGTTGGGTTTCTATTACTGGTGGGTGTTTACATTAGAACGGGATGAATGGAGGCACCAGACAGTAAACTTACCAGCATCTCCATTACTGACATGTTGTCTTGGATACCACAGGCTACTAATAGCTTCTTGGAAAAATTGTACCATTAATGGCTTTGTTCAAAAGCTTATCCTGGTATAATGACTGCAGAAGCAAAGTAATGTTAATGAATGCCACACATGGATTACCAGGAAACGCAATGAAATGATGCTAATGTAAGATTTTTCTTTTTTTTCCCCCAGAAATAAATGTGTGAGTGAGGGTTAAGTTGATGGCTAAAACCATTGAACTGAATTGCTAATGTGTTTTAAATCTTAGTAATCACAACTGGCAGAGAACTAGGTATGCTTTTAAAATCAGGATTCTGAGGTTTAGAAAGAGATATTGCTTTTTTTAAGCAGACTCGAAGTAAGAACCGTAACAGTGGATGCATATCTAATGTTGAACTTAATGCATGTGGCAGGTGCACCGAGTGAAGGCCAAAGAGCTGGATGACCTGAAAAGGAGTTACAAAGAGGGCATGGATGAGCTCATTACTCTACGAACCAAGGTTTGTCATACAGATAAGTGCTTTAATGTCTCTCTCTCTCTGTGTGTGTCCACATGATATCAGAAGACGTTAAGCTTAATCAAGGGTGTGTTGTTCTGTAGTTAAAGTGTCTAGAAGACGAGCGTCCACGCTGGGAGGACGAGCTCAACAAGTACAGGGAGATCATGAACCGGCAGAAGGCAGAGATCGGGCGGCAGAGAGAAAAGCTGGAAGAGATCACTGCGCTCCAGGAGCAGCACGAACGGTACCAACACACACTCTCACACTCATCATGCAGGAGCTGTGCTTTAAACTTCAAACGTAATTGGTTTTGATAATACAGAGCACACTGTAATTCAGTTCTCCCCTTTTTTTTTTATTTTGCAAGTACCTTATTGAAGGATTTAAAGATGGGCCAGGGACAGATATAGCACACAAGGCAGGAAGGGACTCGGGTCCCTCTGCCGGCCATGTGCAGAGGACTCGGTGGGGAAACTTTTCCCTCTTTATCAAAATGAAGCTTTGTGTGTGTGCCAGAGTGCCAACCCAAATAGATTCATGCAAAGGATTCTGTTTTCTTCTTCTGGCCGTCACTTTGAGCAGCAGGACATTTTTAGCTGTTGGCAAGTAAAAGGTTCTCTGGTCCATAGGCAACTTTACTACCAGTGAAGTTGTGACTTTCGTCCTGACAATTTATGTATGGCTCATTTTTGCCATCGTTTGTATGAATGAATGCCAATGCAACAAAAGCTTTCTTATTTGAGTTAAATGATGGATTACAGTGAACAGTTAATTATGAACTCGTTTTTCAAACATTTCTGTCCTTCATTTTTCTTGATTTTGTAATTGATACATTTTTTGTTTAGGATAGTTGTCTTTATTTATGATAAAACAATATTAAAATCATTAAAGATAAATAACAAAGATAAATTGACTCCCATCTTATTAGGTATAGTTTTCTGTGTCATACATATAGTCATATCCTTAACAGTATGTAATTCTCTCACACACACACACACACACACACACACACACACACACACACACACACACACACACACACGAAGGGAAGCTCTTAGCCGCTGTCTTTATTAACACCTTGCCAATAATTCTTTTGTCCCGCAGTGATAAACAGGAGGTCGCGTCTCTTCGTGAGGAAGTGGACGGCCTGTCCAGCCAGATGGTTGACCTCCAGCGCGACGTACAAGGCAGCAGAGAGCGTGAGGCCGAGTTACTGGGCTTCACCGAGAAGCTGAGCAGCAAGAACGCACAGCTCCAGTCAGAGAGCAACTCGCTGCAGTGTCAGTTGGACCAGCTCAACGGTAGCTTCACAGAGCTCCAAGCCAAGCTGGAGGAGACCAACCGGCTGCTAGATGACAAGGTCGGGCAAGCTGGATCACACAGAGTTATGTAGAAGTGGCACAAAGCAGCCGAGTTGTCTGACCTAGAACATGCAGCGTCCTTGAACTGATATTTTTTTGGCTTAACATTCAGAAGAAAATCTTGAAATAGTTTTATTTATATATATATATATATATATATATATATATATTTATTTATTTATTTATTTATTTATTTATTTATTAAAAAAAAATAAATAAATTCCTTTTCAATCACAGGTTTGCTAGAACAAGCAGCCATTGTCACAATATCTTGCCACTCTTATCATGTCTGCTATTGCATCATTAGGCTCATTTAGCCCCCCCCCCCCGTCTCTTATTCATCCCGCAGTCACGGCTGCTGAAACAGGAGGAGGTGCTGAGGCAGCAGGAGGTGCAGGGCCTGCAGGAGGAGCGGGCAGCATTGCAGACAGAAGTGGCGCAGCTAAAAACCAGAGTTGAAGACCTGAGGGATGAGCTGGTGACTCAGAAACGGAAACAAGCTGCCAGCATCAAAGACCTCACAAAACAACTAACACAAGGTTAGCCAACCACCTTACAGTATATTTCCTCAGCTCCTTCGCGGTAAAGTCAGAATTACTTTAAATTAGATTGTATTCAAATTGCAAGTTATCAAAAGCGTAGTGTCATTTCCAGCCTTGCCAAAATGTCCACTACCATCTAATTTCACTTCACTGTGATATTTATCTTTGATGTGTCTCCACTGAGAGAGTGTGCTTTCCTCAGGATGTAATGTCAGGTCACGCATGCAGATCGAGAGGAGGGAGTGCAGGGTGATTAGAAACGAGGGAGATGGGAGACTACAGATGGGTGCTGTGTATAGAAGCTAATGTTCTTCTCATGATAGGATTATTATACTTAATGGAGTGAGCCAGCTTCCCCTGCTTGGTTCTCTGTGGGACACACACACAGTGACCTTAAAGGGATAGATGAGGTTATATGAGGTGCCATAGTTAGTGTGTTACGTGGTCAGCATGGGAGCAAAACAAAAAAAAAAACACTACTAGTTTAAGTGTATGCTCTATAAAATGACTGTTTTTGTCAAGAAGAGAGCATAGATAACGGCTTCAGTTCCCAATGGGAATAGGGCACCTGACGTCAAGGTAAAGCAGCGATACATAATCTGAATATAGCCTACAAATACTAAAAAAATGCATTTTTTTGGTGGCTAAAATACGTTTAGCTGCTGCCCCCGTCTGCAGCTCCCACGCTGGTTCTGCCATGTCTGCTTCTCCATACTGGGGGCGTGTGTGCTGTAGGGAATACACTGACTGTGGAAAAGTACCTCGTACAACCCACTTAAAATATCAGAATGATCCCTTTTTATAGGGCACACATTTCAGAGCTATTTTATTAACACAAGCTTTTTCCCTTTTTGTTTGCAATACGAGACACAAGGACATTAGGAGAGCTCGTGGTCATTCATCAGCGGTGCCGTTACTGTCTCTGACTGCAGCACAGTCATTTTAAGCTGTAGATTATGCACGGAAGGTTTTGCTGAGCGTGCACTCTTCTTCTAAAGCAGCCTTTATTCAGGTGGACACCTTCGCAGAGGAAAACTCTTTGAGTTCAGTCAAGCAGTGATGCTTAGCTTTGACTTTCATCTTGCCTTTTTGTGGGCTTCTGCCTCAAATAATTAGTGTTATACGCAGTACAGTTTTGGCTATGGTGTGTTTTTTGAAGACACGGTATTGTTTCTTTGCTCAGACAAGGCGAGAGTTGAAAGGATTAGTTAGTAAAAACTCTTCCAATTCTGACAGTTCTCATAATCAATTAAGTTATTTCTTAAGTGAAAATCCCAAATATTTCCTCTTTATAGCCTATTAAATACAAATATTTGCTTACTTGTTCTTTATTGTTATGATTTAGACGAGCAATGAGCCAATTTGTGTTTTAAATGTCAGTGTGAGACTAGTCTTTTTGTTAAGAATATGCTTTATTTAGTTAATAGACATTTGAAAGTTCTTTACTCGTTCTTTATTCTCCAGCCCGTAAGAGACTGGACCAGGTTGACAATGGAGGCTGCGACCGGGATGCCAGCAGTATGGGCAGTCGCTCAAGTTCCTCAGGTACTGCTCCTGGATTTGGTTAGTATTTAACACGTGCAGAAGTAATATCATAAAAGACTTTGGTTTGTTCAAAATATAAAGAGTATTTTCTTATAAGAATTCAAAGCTCACAGGTTGTTGAAACGTGACCAAAGTCACAACAATGAGCAGTTTTTCTGAGTTCATCACGATCTCCCCTCCATTCCCTCCAGGCTCCTTGAATGTCCGCCATGGTGGGAGCAGCGGCGTTGAGGAGCGGTCACCAGAGAGCCAGTCCGGTCCCTCGGTGGTGGTGGTGGACAGCTTCCCAGAGGTGGACAAGACCGTGCTCGTGGACCGCATTGTCCGTCTGCAGAAGGCCCTGGCTCGCAAGCAGGAGAAAATCGAGTTCATGGAGGATCACATCAAGCAACTTGTGGAGGAGATCCGCAAAAAGACCAAGTGAGTGGCGTGGACTGGTACACGGAGCAGAGAACGGGAGATGGCCAGAACATTTAAATTTTTTTTTTTTTTTTTTTTTTTTTACTGCTATTTACAATGCTGAATACATTTTTTTGGGGAGCAGTTTGACCCGAGAATGCAAGGTGTTCAGATTTTACCGGTGCAGTGGATGGTGGTGTATTGTGCTCAAACAATACTGATGGATAAAGTTAGTTATAGATGCCGTGTTTCAGACGCTAAGACCAATAGTCAGAGAGCAGTTTCTTGCTGCTGTGTGGAAGTGTTGAAGGGAAAAAGTAAGACTAAATGTAGTATATATTTTCTTAGCTACACATGTTAAACACCTCTAACCATTTGGTGTTAATAATGCAGATCGACATACTGACCAATACGAGTCCAGAGTTTAATATTCTTTTCAGTTTATCCGAATATTCAGGCACACCATACCTCACTCCCTGGTGTTACCTCTGCTTCAGTTCACCTTGATCAGACAGCATGTGCACACACAGTTTATTATCATCGTCCTTACATTCTAACTCGTGCACCTCACTTCGGATTCGTGACAAACTTCACTCGGAGCTACTTACAGTCAAGGGGGGGTGAACGCATCAGTGTGAAGCCTTAATAAGGTCCCATCCATATTCACGGCCATCAACCTTAACTGAAGGGACGGCGTGAAGGTCGAGACGGCTATCGTAATCACATCGCTACTTTATGCAGGTTCAGCCTTGAAGTGGATTGTGAGAGTATCAAAGTTAGAACCAAATGGGCTCGAAACATTTTTCTCTACTGAGTAAAATGAGTGAGATCTCATTAATTGATCGGTGTAAATCACTCCAAACTGTTTATTAATGTTCTGCATCTGGCTCTTGTTGACTGATTTTATATTTACAATGCTCGGAGATATCCAATCATCCCGACTTCGATTCTACTTGGATCATCCCACTCCTCGTTTCTTTCTCCGCTACACACATTGAATCCATTAGCCTCAACCTACATTGAAGAGTTAAGATTGAGGACGAATCCCACGGTTACTGGGCTAAATTTAGCTCCGCAAAATCTCGGTGAAGTGTGTGTGTGTGTGTGTGTGTGTGTGTGTGTGTGTTCGTGTTCCCACTCTGTGGATGTGAATTTGTCCTTTTTGCCTTTCTGTGTCCATCCCTCCAGGACAGCCAGGTGGAAACTGATTTAACTGTAAGCCTGAAGCAGGTGATGAATAAAGAGATGTAGACGTAGGTCTCTGACAAAAGACAAATAGTGAAAGAAAGGCTACGGTTTAATTTAAGCTTCCGCTCCATACACACTGTATGGTCATAGCAGTGTTTTTGCATCTTTAAGCTCATTGACTGTTAACGATTGCGACAATTTACTACTGTGGTGTCCTCACTATATTCCAAAGAATATATAGCTCCAAAGTGGGAGGAAGATATTTTGGGAACCTCCCCCCCCGGTTCAAGAAGTAAAAGATGCATTTCTGTGAGAAACCTCCAATCGCACAGCTAAAAACTCTGTAACTTGCTTGCCGCAGGCCAAACCTAAAGTCTGTGCAATTGAGAAAACTGATAATACAATCCGCTGCTTAATTCAATTATCGTTCGGATTCTGGGTCAGTTTTGGATGAATAATTGAAACCGTTTATGGAGTGTTTCGCTGAAGCTTTGATTGGCGCTCTCTTGGTTTAGCCTTTCAAAAACAACAGTTTCACTGTGTGTCACACACACACAAAGGGACGCACACAACTGAATTAACAGTGTGGTTACTGGTTTCTAACAGCACCATAAATTACATTTATTTGACCACAGTAAAAGAAAATCAATTTTTCTCCCATTTTATGAATATAAAATATGATGACAGAGATTCAAGCTTCATTTGTGAACCTCAATACAAGCTCTGAACGTGAAAAAACATTCCTTACAGCCGTACATCTTCCCCACACCAGCGGTGACTGAGGCACATGGGTATTGTAGTATTTAGCGGTCATGCCAAACTGATAAGTTGAACAAATAAAAACTGGTGTCCTGACCACAAGATAAGCCTCAACCTAAATGATCGTTACATTATTCTGGAGGCTCTTGTGGGGGGGTGGGGAAATACTTCTTAACTCTATTGCTACATGATTATTTTTACGTGTTTTTTTTTTTTTTTTTTTTTTTTCTCGCCTATCGTGCAACCATTCAATATTGTTTTGCGAGTGGCATCTTCATGCGCTGCCAGGAAGTCAAACACGGGTCATTGGCTACACGGCTCATACAGTATGTGCAATTTGTAGTAAATGAGCTAAAACATTCAGAAACAGCAGCGTCATCATCTCTCATGGGGGCAATGATGTCTGTCACCCACACCTGGTTATTATGAGCATTAAGTCTAAACGGGCCCTTCGTGTGACTGGAATTAAAATGATGTTGTTATAGACCAGATGAGAACAGGAGGAGGCCTTCTGTTCAGGAGGCGCAGATGGATATTTATTTAGAGAGCGCGCCCTTTTGCTCTGTTTTGTTGTAATCGGTGGTGACTGCAAATCAGGGCAATATATGCTCTGCTGTCGACTGTTATGGATCCACACCTGCTGAGTGTGTTTAAATATACAAAATGAGGATCCCTCTACCAGTCAGGCTTAGTGTTTCTTGATGCCTTTGATTTTTTTTTTTCTGTAAATAATACAGAGGGAACATTTAGACTTGATCATGAGAATCTACATTTATCGAGCATGTACCGTCGTACAAAAAGCCTTAAACCTGAAACTAATAATTGCCGTTCAGTATGTTTTTTGTTATAGCCTGAGAAGTTCTGAGTAAGATGAAGATAAAACATACAAACATGGATGTGTTGTGTGGTCTGACACAACACATCCAAGAGTTGAACTGTACCCAGAATTGCCGCCTTCCCTTCACGCATGCTTGACTTGCCGCCCTCATTGCTTACACACTCTCAGCTGGAACAAAAAGGACACACTACTCGCACCCCGGCCGACCCGTGCATGCCATTCGGCACACCGTGTGGCCACGTCTTTAATTTCTGTCACTTTTTTTTGTTTTTACTAAACACTGTCGTGATGGAACTGGGGTCCAAATATGGACCCTTGCAAGTCTAGTAGTGTGTGTGTGTACGATTTATGATGCTGGCTTTTTTTCTTAGCGCTTCCATAGCTGCTGTATCATTTCTGTTTGTTTGCACCATAGATGTCTTTGTGTTGTTAATGTGTAATGCATACACTGCAACATACAGTTTTAGGGTTTATGCAGTGCATATATATTACTTGATTAAATTAATTTTATAATAAAAGATGGGACTTGTGGAAGTAAGAGTCGACACTGAGTACCAGTATTCGTTCTATCCTCCCTCCTTCAGAGTACAATTAAAATGTATTTTATATATTTATAAATGTAATATTTTCATGTCAAATGTTGACATTTTAAGGAGGCTGCAGACTCGTGTCCCAGGCTGCTGTTTTATCTTGGTATTGGACATTACTATAAATGCGTGGCACATTCTGAAATGTCTTAAACGGACGTCACTGGCATGCTTTCAACCTTCCCAAGATCTCTTTCACAATATTTTCACTTTAATAAAATGCCTATAGGGTTATATTGTATTTACTTATGAACAACTATCCCATTTAAAGCCTCTGCGTTTAACATCTAAAGACACCACTTAAAGTCAGTGTAATTGTCTAGAAGAATCAATACATGAAGAATCAAGACCTTCACAGCTTAGAAAGGGGATATCCTTAAGGTTGTAGTACACAAACAGTTTATTTTCATTTATGGCATTTATGTTTTAATTCATGAAAGCTAGGTCAGGAGTAGTAGTAATGGTTGTAGTAATTTAGAATTTGCAACATTTAGGTATTCAACTCTAATAATCTACTCTCTTGTCATCACCTTGAGAATCTTCTATTAAGAATATATTCAGCTCTACATGTCAGGCAGAGTGGAAATCTTATCGCAGACTCTCACTAGCGGTCAGGAGCGTCCCTTTGCTCATCCTGCAGTTACCCATCTTTTCAAAAAGTCACCGTCAGACGAAACGTGCATTTGAACGAACCAATGCCAGTGTGTCGGGCTGAATATTGTGCTTTCAGATATACAGCTGGGTTGAGAGCCGGTTTTGAAATATTGATTACTGGCCCATCTCAAGAGAGTTACAGGCGGTTGTTGACCTTTTCTGTCGGGCATTACCTGGTCCTCTTCACCTCCCACACTCCCCAAGTCTTACAGAGGAGAATCAAGACTGCGGCTGCAATCATAAAAGCTTTTTAGTTCCGGCATTGTGCGTGTTTTAATTTATATTTGATACCTGGATTCTAGCCTCATCACGCTCAATCTCTTGGCTGTAGACGTACACAGGAGAAATGATTCACACACTAATTTCCTTAACCATCTACATCATCTTGAATATTGCTCTGTGTTATCTTCCCTTCTCTTTGGTCGCATATTAAGAAAAACACAATAATGCAGGACGCAGTAATGAATTTAAGTCACAATGGCGTCTCTCTCTGGGTCTGTTTTCCTCTTCATAAGAAACACACCGGCTTGTCATTGTTCTCTGGCTGCGCTGATAAAATTGGACAACAAGAAGTTTAGAGCTAAGCTAATGAATTCCCCCTCTGACACAAACATGAATTATCTTCTCTCGCTGACACAAACGAGCTTTAGCACTATATTGTTCCAGAGATGAAAATGTTCTCTGAACATGAAGAATCGATCTTTCTCAGACGCTCACGCAGACAATGCGGTTGATTAATTGAATCCTTGCAGCCCCCTCTAATGCGGCCCTCTTATGGCATAAGAATCATCTTTCTAGCTATGACTGAATTTGTCCCGTGCACGAGTTCAACAAGCCGTCCCACTGAAATTACTATTCTAGGAACGTCTGCTGCTTTCGCTGCGGGAAACGGTTTTATTGCACTGTAGGAGCTCTCCATGCTCCCACTTTCTCAATTTTCTTGCTCAACAGTGTGCAGCCGATGCCGCACGTTCACGTCGTTTCCCCCCTCCTTTTTCCTGAAGCACACAGTTTGACTCCTCTCCTCCCCCCCCCCCCCACAGAATTATCCAGAGCTACGTGCTAAGAGAGGAGACGGGGGCCCTCTCATCGGAGGCGTCAGACATTAACAAAGCCAATCTGAGCCGGCGGGGAGGCATCATGGCTTCACTTTACACCTCCCACCCGGCGGACAGCGGGCTGACCCTGGACCTGTCACTGGAGATCAACAGGAAGCTGCAGGCTGTGTTGGAGGACACACTGCTGAAGAACATCACTCTGAAGGTAAGGTCTCTCCCAGCAGGCATCATACTCCAGCAGCATTGTGCTATAAATGCGTAACAAGTGTACACAATTGTAATTGATGTAGATTAGAAACACTATGTACAACAGAATCTAATTATTCATTCATATGGATATTCATTTTGTTTCTTAGCATTTAGATTTAGATACTGAAAATGTAGCTCACTTCCTTTTTAAGTCTTCTCACCCACACCAGCCCAGAAGACCGCGGGATCCCTGGACGCCTCCTCTGTAGCACTTTTGCACAGTATGAACCGCTGATGCTCGTTTATTTCTGAGGCCCAGGCATCGCAGCCGACGTAGCCCCGTGCAGAAGCAGTGGCTATTCCTGGGTTCCTTAAAGCGCGATGGATTCAGCGTACACGTCACTGCTCTTTAAACATTAACGACAACACATCCTGACACAAACGAGCGTTGTGTTTCGTTGTTTCTGCGCTACATTTTCCCAAAATATGACACCATTGCTTGAATGCTTGTCGGTGAAACTCATTTGAATGAATTTCAAATACCAAGTCTTGATTGATTTTTTTTTTTTTTTGTGAATTAGGTCACAAAGAGCTAAAAAAAATCATTACACCATCGAGTTTACGAAAATACACTTGTTTTGCTGATATAAATTGGGCCCACCATGGACAACAGAAATAGCACATTTAAAATATTAGATAATATTAATATTGTCAATGAACTCTCAACTGTGTCAGTTTTTAGAGAGATGAGTTGTTGGGATTCGTGGTCTAGATCAGAAGCTGCATTATTGATGCTAATGCTAAGAAAGGAAACATGTGCCCCAGTGTAACGGACACGTATTTCTCCTTATCACTGGTCCATGATCTGAATAGTTTATTTAAGCCTATATTCACAGTATTCGGCCTCGTTCAGCCATCACGTATGTGGGCTTTGTCCTGCTCCCGAGGGTCTTTGATAATGTAATTGAATAGGATTTCAGCTGAACCAATTTTCTGACGCGTTAGTGTAAAATGAATGAATCCGTTCCACCTCTCAGCTCTCTGTCTGTCTGAAGAGGTGATGTGTCCAGATGTACCTACAAGAAAATGTACGGCGGCACCCTCTTCTCCTCCTAGTTTATTAACATACGCTCAATTCCACAGTCTGTTTGCAACACAGGCTTTATGTACTACAATGCATTTATTTTTCACCAAGTGTCAAAACAAATGCCCAATCGAGTGGGTGAATACTGCTTCCAAACCGGCCCAGGGTAAAGCAGGAAAGAGATGATAGAAAACAAAATAATATTTGAATGCGCCCACGTAAACGAGCCAAACTCTCAAAGCGTGACATCATCCCGTCTTCATGTGTTGTCGTCGCAGCTTCTTTGATGTTTGTCTCTGTGCTCTCTTTGCACTTTTATGTTGGCACATTAGATGCTTGATTTATAACGAGCAGCTTCGTATTGTCTTTATATTGTGTTGATCTTATCTTAAAGATGTAAAAAACCTAAATAAGACAATACATTGTAACGTGGGAGTATTTTCTGACAGCGAGTCTTCTTCCTGTGGATGAAAGATGATTGGCAGTAAGCAGCAAGTAATTATATGCACTCAAGACGGGGACAATAAAATGACAATAAAACAAACAATGCCGAATTAAGGCTTCACATTTCCTGTGATGGATAATTTAAAAGCTATATTTATATATTCACTTTCTTTTCATCTTTCTCTGTTTTGACTCTTAATATTAAAACAGTAGACTCACACTTTCAAACACCATTTTTGTTCTCGCGACGATGCCTTCTACATAGAAATAAATGGCACAAATGCTTCAGGAACGTATTTCACTTTATTCTCCCTCCTATTATTTTTGATAAACAGCCACAGCACAGCAGTCTCTCATGTACCGGAGTCTGAGAAGTGTTCCCTCTCTTTAACAGGAGAATCTGCAGACTCTGGGGTCCGAGATCGAGAGGCTCATAAAGCAGCACAGAGAACCTGAGGATGGAGTAAGGAGGAAGTGACAAAACCAGGAAGGAGGAAGTAGGAAGTAAAGGACCAATAACTACTTAAGGAACCCCCCCAACCAAGCATTTTTGAAGGGACGGGAAAATGTAAGACATACACACACGGTCATTGTCCCAACACACGAAGGAGCAAATAGAATGTTGCCAGCTGCCAGTAGCACCTCAGGCTGCTTTTTGGAGGACCTCTTCAACTCTGTCCATTCGGAGAAGGTGTCTGAACTTACTTGATACTGTTGTTGTTGTTATTCCATCCACATTGTACCGCCTCCGCCAACACAACAGCTCTTCCTCTGGCTAACGTCCGTCTCCCCCGGAGCCTTGCCAAGATAAAACTCTTCAGGCTAGTTGCTTCAAGCTTGAAAGTCGAAACTGTCTTGTCAACTAATTGATGCCATAATTATGAATGTATAGCAAAGTGACAAATGCTGATTTGCCAATTAATTCATCCTATAAAAAAAAGACATTTGTCCCCTCACAGCTCTGTCCACAAGTACAGCAAGTCTTACTGAAATAAGACGATCGTCGGCCAGCATGCTCTCTCTGCTTCTTTCCTGATGTTCGTCTGCCAATAAGCCAAATGTATTTTTGAAAAGCTGCTTCTTCACCCCGACAATGCAGCGCTCCACGAAGTAAAAGTGAAAAAACAGCAACACATCAGCCCTGGCTTTGTTGGGGATCTTGTGTGCCACGTGGGCATTTTTCATCAACTTTTGCGCTGCACAGCACTTACGACCCGAGCCGGTGAAGCTTCAGCAGACGCACCCGTCTGTGTGACACCGGCGCTCGACCGACGGAAGCGGACTGCTTTCTTTGCAATGTTTAATGCAGCCAACAGCACTATGCTATCAGCGTGGACGTATCCTCATGTTAAGCTGTGTAAGAAAATCTATGACAAGTATAATATGATGTTACGGTTGAAATGTAGAGCTGGTCTTGAGTTTGGCCATTTTGAATGTGATTTTTCTTTCTTTTCTTGTTTGCTTAAAATTAGAGTTTTATTTGTCTGGTTATCCATTTTTATTTTATTTTATCATGCATATTCACTTTTAATTTAAAATAACAAATACCTAGAATATTGTTGCCTTTCCTTCACTAATCTGTATGATTAGTACCAACGGCTTCTCTTAATCAGACATGAGCACCTACAGCTGTTTGTAGAGGTTTGGTAGCATCAGTAGCAAAGCGTGGACACAGAGATAATAACTTTCTTTGCACCGTGTGCACAATATGATCTGGTGAGAGGAAAAAGACATCGACGTTCGGGTTCTAATATCACACTTCTTCTTTCTTTTTCCCCGTGTCACTTAGTCTGTTGAAGTAAATCAAGTGTAGAAGAATCAAACTGACAGGAGATCTGTAGCTGTAGCTCAGGAAAGCCAATGGAACCTACAGAAATATATCCAGGGACAAAGTGCAATGCTGTTCCTTTCATTGATTTTATTTGAACAATGTCTGTTGTCTTTTTGTTTTGTTCCGAATGTGTTTGTGCACCAGTATACTGTTTTATATGGATTTTTTTATGCTTGCGTATGTGCAACATCCGACTGTGCAGGTGTTTGAATATTTAGTGTCCAACCTGTGTGTGAGAGTCTGCGTGCATGTCTGCCTTTTTTATAACCTCTCAAGCTGTTGTGTTTACACCTTGTGTACATGCTTCAGCTGCTGGCGCTTATAGGATTCCACCAGACTGACCATGAAGTTTGTTTCATCCAGAGGAGTACTGGTACGCTTGATTTGCGTTTAGAGCAGAGTTGGTCAGACACACACCCACACACACACCCCTACCCCTCTGCAGCGTCTGTCTCTCATTCACAGATGTTCAGCACACACAGTATGAAGGGTATGGAGCAGGCAATGAGCTTGATTCAACAATACAAAAGTTTGCGTGGTCTTTATTTGATCTGATTTCAGAAGCTGTCGCAGAGCATAAGCCTCCATCTCTTTTATGGGTCATGAATGATTGCAGGTTGATTTCCCCCCCCCCCCCCTCCCATACACCCCGAGGCTATGTTGAAACGGCCCACTATGTGAATAGAGATGAACGTTTCCCTGTTTGAAGTCATGAAGTCCGTAATGCCTCGCTCGGCGTTTGATGTTCCTGTGCTTTTATTTCATCCGAACTGATTTCTTCGCGAGGCGGGATCAGCATGTAAACGTACGGACGGCACACCTGGAGATTACGTCTTGATTCTCCTTGATATTGAAATTTAGCAACCTTTTAACCTCCCAAAAGGATGCGGTTCTATCACTTGACATTTAGGGTTTCTGTTTCTTGCATCTTAAACAGCGCGACAATGAGCTGCTTGCTGCTGAATAGGCGAAAATCGTTTTGTTGCTTTACAGTCATTTTCAAAGTAAAATCCAACCTATGCAAAACATTGCATAGAACGTCCTCATTAATCCTCAGAGGCACGCTAACTCACTTCTTCTGTGTTGGTCACAGCGTGTCTCCTGCAAGAGTCATGCGGATCCAAGATTTCACATATTTCCACAGCCTTTAAAAAGGGAAGCCATGCTGTAGCATTGTGCGAATAAACGAATCACGTTTCACTATACGGATACGATGAAATGGAGTTCAGTGTGTTTGTGTCAAAATGTGAGATTTAAATTAGAAGTTTGTCATTTTTCCTCCTGCTGTGCAATGATATGATTCCCCGCCCTGTTTAGTGGAATATTCAAATTGTGATTATAATATACATTTGTAAATATGTCATTCTGTATAATGATTATGAGATGTTTTTAAAAATGCTGATTCTGGATTGTTTGTATATATGGTGTTTCCAGGGAATAAAAAGAGATGAGTTGTGGCTTTCTCTTGAATGTGCCACAGTGTCTCATGTTTCATGTTTTTCTTTTGCCATAAAACTTATACCGACATCTCGCCAACATCCGCTGTTCTGGTTTGTGTAATTGAGGTTGGGACATTTTGAACACGGAGGTAACCTCTCTGACTCTTTGTAGCATGAGACTTTAGGTCCCATTTCAAAAACGGCAGCGTCAGCGGTGCTGGAGGTCACGCACGTCACTGTCAGTCAAACCAGGCAGCCTCTCCGATGATTTAAAACCCAACTGTAAATACTCCCAAAAAATACAGCCGAAAAACAAGTCACGGGTGAGTTTTCCTACACAGCCATTTTAGTGTCAATAAAAGCATCATTGTTGTGTAGTTGACCTAGTTTATCAACGGGGGGGGGGAATATCTCTCTTTCAATGTTTTCATTCTTTGCGTTACAGCTCTAGTTCAGATGGAGAATGCTCTGTTGTCGCCATATCTTCTTTTGGATCAATGTCACAGTTTAGTTGAACAATATCCTGAGTCACCCTGTCAATCTGCACACATAATGTTACATCACGCATGAGCTTACTCTTTCCCACACATGCCCAAGTGCAGACTTTGACAAACACCTACAGACCAACTGATGGCACCTGTCATAAAATAATAGTTCAGCAGGAAACAAAATAAGACATTTGATTCCATCGACAATCTTGTCACGTATGGGTGATATTTCCCAATTTCTCGGCAGGCACAGCCGCACTCGGCAGGTTCAAATATCCAATTCAGGCCAATGGTTACTGCCGGGCTATTTTTAGCTCGCTGATAAAGGATACTCTTATCAGCTTAGATGACCACCCTTGAATTCATAAAGCATCGCCTGTGTCCTTTAGACACGGCAGCAAACATGGCAGTATAGCTCTCAAGGTGCAGAGGTAATAAGCCTGCCCGTGTCTATTTTTCTTTCCTATATTACATCCCTACACCGCTACAGCTGCAACATTAAGATACAAACATTTGAATATGAATGGGTCTCTATAATGAATATTATTGAAGTCCACTTGTCTTTTAACTTCAGTGTTTTGTCATTCTGTGTACAAAAACATGTTTTTAATTGGGAATATTCATGTATCCATCTAGCCTATCATTAGATGCCATTACAAAAATCAGCCCTGGTGCGTGTGGAACGTCTCGGTAATGCTTTGATTGTATGCCACTCTCCTGCTCTGCCTCTTCACTTCCACCTCTGAGATGGAAATTGAGGGGTCATTTTTCTCAGACCCAGATGTTCATTCAGATCTGTGATTAATCAAATGTGCTGCAGGTGTCAGCAGAGTAAATCTAGTGAATGAAATGTGTTTTGTTTCATGCTTAAAGCAGAACTCACTTCTGTATCTTCATGCAGGGGGGCAGACGAGAGTAGAGTCTGGAGGCTGGGATCGGCAAGAACGGTAGCACCTCGGCCTTGAGAGTGACGAAGGCCAAGCTGCTGTTCAGCTTCATTCCACTCTGCAGTGGTGGAAATAACCAAGTACATGTATTCAAGTACTGTGCTTTACTTACCATTTAATAGTACTTTGTACTTCTATTCCTCTACATTTCAGTTGAAAATATTGCTTTTTTTCACTCAACTACATGTGTTTACCGACTGTATCTCCTCGTTATTATTCAACTTAAAATATTACAGAAAAGCTGTTTCTATTCCCCCATTTCAAAAGGATCAATGTTAAGAGAAATGTCCCAAAAATGAATATAAATGTAAAGAATTGTTTAACAGAACTTTCCTATGTTCTCTCCCATTAGCAAAGGTACACAAACATGTTGTGTACCTGTGCTCTGTCCTCTAGACGAGCCAGTCTCGACGTACAGAATATCTAATGCACCACTGTCATGTTTTTTTTCTGGTGTGACACAATGACCTTTACTGTGAGGGGTAAAAAACCCCCAATGTCAGCCGAGGGGTTGCAAAACAGCAACATTGTTGTTTTGGACTCTTGGTCTCTCAGAGGGCTTTGAACACATTGTGTGTGCAAGTCCAACCCTGACCCTCAATGTTATTGTGAAAGACCGACCGGGGCTGTTCCAAAATGCTCGGATTTATGACGATGATGGTGATCAGATATCGGCAAGCTGGTTGAAAATAAGAACACTTAGAGACACAGGGTCAGAAGTGGACCACACAATAATGTTTGCTCTCATCAGTGCAGTCATGCTGGTGACGTCAGAGTAGGTTTTTGGAGCCACAATCTTCTGACTGAGCCAAATGTATCTCATTTGGAGTTAGAAACCAGTGAGCCAGTGAGAAAATGCTTTTGCTTACTTTGCCACATCCATTGTGAATGGTTAAAGGAGTAAGTCATGAGTGCTCGGTTTCATAGTTCATACTTCTTTAATTGAGACAGAAATTTACATCATAAAAGATGAACACAAATTTGCCCCAATCTTTAGGCTACATGAGCAACGGTCAAAGCACGGCAGATGGAGACTGCTGAGCGCCAAGTTCACATGGGAATCCAAGCAGATGGACACATGTAGCATAGCACCTGCTTTTGGCACCACATCTCGACCATCGCAGCGTGATTTAGACTGGAATAAATCACAGAGGGATTTAATCTTACAGGGCTACAAGGCAGTTATTAGCCAATGGAAGTTGAGTTTTATCAATGTTTGGCATCAGATGCGTGTCCCAGCTGCTGGCTCTCCACATGTTCATGCTTCTCATTTAGCTACATTCATAAATAAGACATTTTTTGTTTCCCTAGTAGCTAAATCTATCACTTGGGTTTGAGTTGTATGGCTTAACAGGCTAATAAAACATATGTTTTACATATATATACTGTTTATAATTGATATTAAGTACACTTCAATTACTTTGGATGTCAACAAACAAGAGACTTGAAGTAATTTAAAAGCTGTGCAAAACGGTGCACTTTTATGCTCCCGTTGCATGTATTTAGCACATCAGTTGGGATGTGATAAGGTCATTATCATTCGCAATCAGCAATAATTACATGCAGGTGACATTTCTTGTTTTCAGAAATCACTGTTCTGTTTTTTCTTACTTTGAACCTTGGAACAACCTCGCCTCCAACTCCTCCTGAAGAAAATGAGTCTTTGCAGAGCATTTTACAAAATCATGTTTCTGTTGGTTCTCCGCTGCAATTTAGCAGAGTCGCTCATCTCCGTTGTCCCTTGTTTGGTCCCCACAGGAGCACGATGAGTGGCACATGCTATGCAAGTCCTCTTTAACTGACCTTGATTCACAGTATTGTTTTTGTACACAGTCTTTGTGCAAGGCAAATCATTATTCAAAAGTATGTTATGAAGCGTGTCTTAGCATCAATTTGAGTGTCATTTGGGAAAAGAGAAGATTACCAATTCACAAAGAATTATGTTTATGTTGGTCAGATGGCAGTAGGCGGTGGTTGGCAGAGACAATATTCATGATCTGGACGAGAGGCGGTTGAGTCCTAATAACTGAATGAAACCTCACACTTGTTGCCTGAGAGGATCTGAAAGAGCTCCTTTAAAGTCTCAGTGCAGTGTGGTTGCGGTGATTTGGGAGGTCATAGAAAATGTCTGACTTCCCTCTGCTGTGAAAACATGTTTGAATTAGATTAGGTATGCATTAACGGCTGGGAATGTGGACATTTCATGGGGAATGATTGCACCTGGAGTTGCACCTAGTCTTCTAAAATGTGCCCATACTCCAGGGACAATGAATATATGACAAAGTTTGAGCAGGAGCAAATACGCTGCAATTAAAGGAACAGTTCCATATTTTGGGAAATGCACTTATTCGCTGTCTTGCCGAGAGTTAGATGAGGGAATTTGTATCAATCTTCTCATCTACTTCTCTGCAAAAAAAAAAAAAAAGAGGTAAATCACCAACCATTATTATTTCTGAACGTAAACTCTGTGTTTACCATATACCTCTGTTACCGCAGAGGTCGCAGTGATATCAGTTAATCTACTGTGACTTGAGCAGCCAGAATGTCCACTGATACACATGCAATTTGGAACAATTATTCTTAAAGCTGCTGATTAGCTCCTCCATCTGTGAGCCCACAGCTAATCTGCCCAAACTCAAACTTCCTGCCAAACAAACAGTGCTTAATAATGACGTGGGTTTTTGCCAGGAGGCCATCAAAGATAATAGCTGCACTGCTGTTGTTATTTTTTTAATTTATTTTTTTTAAAGCTGGGTCTCATTCACAGGTATTAGTCAAGCCAATCATATCTAAACGATATTCATTGGCTAAAACAGCTGAGTTTAGTTCCATTGAGTTTTTTTTTTTTACTGGTCTAATTGAAGTGTATACAGCTCTATACTCTTCTGGGAGAGCACCATTAGCAGAGCACGTCGTGTTAATGTGTAGAGACGTCCACTTTCAGGGCTAATTCATATTCCCCAAAGACAGAACTGGAAATCTCTCTTGGGTCACATCATAACAGCTGCCATGTTAACAAAAAAACATGTTCTACATGGACAGGGCCTATTTGACAAATATTGGATATTGTTATTACTGGATCGCTGGAGTACATCTTTAACATAGGACCCGAGAGCCCCCCACGGGGGGCTGTTTTAGAGTGTGCAGCATTCAGCATGTCGTTGAAAGCATTTTTCATAAAGAAATATGATTATTGCTCCAGACATATTAAATATCGAATTAACGGGAAAAGTCCGAGCAACATCATCATACCAGCCATTGTAAACACTGCAAACACAATTATACATGAACTAATATCATATCTGGAAGATATCTAGAACATTTGCCACAATTTTGGCCAAAAATCGACGACCTATGCTCACTCTATGGCTCTCTCATCACGGAGCAGGATCGCACATGGCGGATGAACACATGCAGGAGGGGCACGATTCGACCCGGAAACGCACAGCGGCGTCCAAATTACTCTCTTTCAAACTGTTCAAAAGTTATGGGTATGCATGCCAACATCAGTCGCAGGTCACGAGAAAAATAATTGGGTAAAAAAACTTACGTTTTGGCGATATAAAACGGATTTATTCGAGCCGATTTCTGCACAGCTCTGCCCGCCATGTTCTGCTGCATGTCTGTGAGTGAGATCAATGCGCTGGCGGAATGAATCACAAAATGGCAGACGATTCTGTGGGGTGGAGCAATCCATGTAGAGAGGGGTGTTCGCCCAGCATTTTGCGATTTTTAGTCAGTAAACAGACCCGGATACGATCAAACACCCCTGCATGGCTCCCGTTGGACTATCCCGCATCTAAAAATGTCTCACACGAGTAAATCGGCCTTACCAAAGTCACATAGACACACATTATGAGCCATTTATTGTTATGAATGACAAATATGACACATCATAACTGCTCAAAATGGTGTCAAACTGATTTATTAGGATTATTGAACACTCTTAGTGATAAGAAAAGTGAATATATAGTTAATATTTAGTTATATAGTATATAAAATTAGTATACAGCAATGCAACAGCTGGTTCCGAAAATCAAAATTTAGATTTTTATGACCATTTATGCTGGCCTGCTTCACTCAATCGAAGTAAAATATGTTGTGGGGACATGTAAAACGTGTTGTTCTATGACTGTGGTGTGGTTTTAGGCTTGCAGCTGCATTATTTAAAAAAAAAAAAAATGTTCAAAACAAGTGCTTTTTTTCAGGCGAACCTAGAAATTTGTGCCATAAGTGTATCAGTTATTAACCAGTAACATATACACAATATTTACACAATTCAACACATCTCACAAGTGTTACCAGTATTCTAGCATCAAAATTTTTAAAATAGACCTTGTAGTTAGAGCTTGGGACTGTCTTGAGTATGGCTATGCAATTTTCGAGCAGAGGCCTAAAAATAGGGCTAGGGTCCTATGAGTTAAAGTTTTAAAATAGTGCATTGGGCATGGAATGTTAAAAATCACACTTTTTGTTGCTTTTTTGCAAAAAAAATGCATTCTAGTTCAATTTGAATGTGAAAAAGCAACAATGCTTTTTAAATGATAGAAATATATATATATCTTTTGCTGAAACTGATTTATCATTATCTCAATCCAGCCATATCACAATTGTTTGTGTTTGGCTTGCATACCGTGTGCTGTATAAACCTTGATCACGGCACAGTTGAGAATAAAGTCAACATGTAAGCGCTGAATGCATAATCAACTGTGCATGAATGTGTATACAATCCACTGGTTTAAAAAGCTGATTTCCATGGCTCATCTCTCCAACGAGGCCAATCAGGTTCGAGTTGCTCTCAGCAGTCCCCAACCATCAATAGAATGAAATTCCAAATAAAGCTCAAACAGTAATTAACAATGAAACGTCCTTTTATTTCACAGGAGTCAACACGCCACCTCACAATAGCATGTAAAGCTTAAATGAGAACGACAAAGGGGGAGGCTCAAAATCCTCACATCAGTAGGCCTACTAAACACCACAATACAATATGCACAAAGGGCGTGGGAATCAGTCCCACATTCACTTGTTTAGTTGTAATACATACAAATACATATTTTACATAAATGTTTAATATAAACAAATACCTGTCGTACAAATTGCACTTGCCGATGGCTGTGAGGTAAAAACACATTGTGAGCACGACATGGCTGCAGTACAGTCACTCCGAATAAAATGCCTCACTCATGTCCGCTGCATTTAAATAACAATCAGTGTATTACAGTGCGTCCGAGCAGTCATTTTAAGAATAAATGATGAGCCATCGAGAACCCGGGGACAATTTAAAGGTACCCACTGCCCCTTAATAGATTATCTGCGTCAATAAACACTGAACTCCTGATCCAATAAAATAAGAAATAAACAAAAACACGAGGATTATTAAACAGTGCGCTCTTTGTAAGGAGTGTCAATTCACTGAATAACGTTTTATGGTCAGTGCAGCACCGATTATGTTTCATTAGATCCACTTAAATGAAAAATGAGGGTTGATATTATTTAAAAAATTGGATCATCTCTTAGACACTGAACTGGTGAGATTTGCGCATCTTGAAAAGAGCATTAACCCTGCTCCCTTTTCTTTTAAAATATGGCTTTTAAATACAATGCATGTATTTTCGCCTGACCTTTGACTTCTATGATATCGAACAGACCCCCTTCGTTTAATAAGGTGCGGCTCTTGTCCAAAAAGAAACCCATGTTCAAGGAGTAAACGCCCGCTGTAGCCTACTCCTCCTTCCCCAGGCTGTAGTAATCCACCTCAACAAAAGTATATATTTGTGTTCCTTCACAGCTGTGATTCAGAGTGCGACAGCTTTACAGCCCCGACCGGGCTGCTGTCACTGTTGTCCAAGACGGCGCAAGCCGACCACAGCCCCAATGTGCCGGGCTCCAGGGCGGAGACGAACCCACCGGAGTACCGGGACAGGTCGCACGAGCTGATGTGCAGCCTGCGGTCGGCTTGCCTCGGGCAGCACAGCAGCCTCTTGAAAGCCTTCCTGAAGTCCGGGCTCCGGCAGTAAATAATGGGGTTGAACGCTGAGTTCACGTACCCCAGCCAGTTTAAGAACACGAAAAGGTCCTTGTCCACCATCTCGGCGCAAATCACGCGCACCACGTTGACGATAAAGAAGGGCAGCCAGCACAGAGTGAACGTCCCCATGATGATCCCCAGCGTTTTGAGCGCCTTCTGCTCCCTGAGCGCCAGGATCTTAGACGGCCTCTTCTTGAACTTAGAGGTCAGTCCGGTTAAGTTGTTGTGAAACCTGCCCTCGCACTTGTCGATCTTCCTCAGCTGCTTTTTCGCCTCTCTGTACACGCGGGCGTAAACAAATATCATAACCAGCAGAGGAATGTAAAAAGATATGATGGATGAGGAGATGGCATAAGCCCTGTTGGTGACGAAGTCGCAACATTCAGGGTCGTTGTAGCAGTCTGTGTCCACACTGTCCCGGGACCAGTGCATCAGGATGGGGAGAAAGGAGACCAGTGCAGAGATGGCCCAAACTACGCACACCACCGTTTTGGCCCGAGCTTTGGTTATCAAGCTTTGGTAGCGGAAAGGGGAGGTGATGGCCACGTACCTGTCTATGGCGATAACGCACAGGGTCTCGATGCTGGCGGTTACGCAAAGAACGTCCACGGAGGTCCAGAACTCGCAGAAAAAGCTGCCGTACAGCCACGAGCCACGCACCTCGAGCGCCGCGCCAAACGGCACCACCAGCAGCCCCATAATGAGGTCCGCGCTCGCCAGGGACACGATGAACACGTTGGTGAGCGTCTGCAGCCTCTGCGTTTTGGCGATGGCAACGATGACCAGGATATTGCCGAACACAATGGACACGACGATCAAACCCATCAACACGCTCATCCCCGCCATCCACTGCTCGGACACGGCCGTAGCGGAGTCCGGTGCGTCCGACGACTCTGCGCCGGAGCCATTCTGGAAATTCACCGGCGAGGACGCGCCACCGTCCCCCATGACGGGCTGCTGCGCTGTGTGCGGGACCAGGTCGAGTTCATCAAGGCAGTCTTTCTAGTGTGTCGCGGACGCACGGGCCACGGCTCTACTCCTGTCGCGCGCCAAACTCCATCTGGAGTTCCTCTCTCGCCCTCAGTTTGCGCGAGCTGCAGCACCGGCCGGCACATCAGAGCGGGCGGTGACATCACTGCTCCTCAGGACCAATCAACGCAGCTCAGCGGACAAAATTGTCCCAACAATGAAGTTGAGGAATCACAAATTATTCATCAGTCCCACTTTATCACATCTTTTGAAACTAATGCGCATGAATGAATAAATAAACACTTTAATTTTGTAAGAGGAGGACATTTTTAGCAAGCAGCTTTGTAACCACAGCTTATACCCCAAACTGCCCTGTGACTGTTATCTTTCTAAAAATCCGCCTTGGGAACACGAGGAGGCAGATATGGAGATCCAAAAACCACCATGATATTATTCAGGGATTTTGCTGTTTTTTTCTTGCCATCACAAAAAAAATTTGTTTTTCCACTTGTCCATTTTATATTTTTATCACAAAGAATACATTCCAAAGCTATGAGGGCAGGCCCAACCACAGATCTGCTCTCGGATTCACAGCATTACAAGAAACATCTTGTCATTAGACAATTATAAAACAGGGTTTGTCCAACAGCCAAACTATTCAAGTATATCCAGGTTAGTTCCGGGTCATTAAAATCCAGATAAACGCTTATTTAGATGAAAGTTAAGTACAGTAGCCGAGGCTGAGGAACAGACATGGCCTTATGCACAAACAAAAACAATGCAACACGAGACGGGAAGAAGACCAGGAAAGAGTGGAACCTAAAAGTCTCACTGAAGCAAAACTGTGAAAGAAGGTCTTGAGAAGTCATGTGTCTGAGTCTACAGCTGAAAGACGAGACTTTCAAAGAATGAACACAAGGAAAGACATCTTTGATCCGTGTTTGAGCTGGCCTCTTGACACACAGACTGCAGACACGAATGAACCTCTTTGTTCTTGTTGTCGTGTTTGTTTTGAGTGTGTGTGTGTGTGTGTGTGAGTTGATTAGCATGCCTGTCAATAATGACCCAGCCCCAGACACGAATGACCCAACGTTACAAGCTTATCTGAGATTGTTAACATCAGCTGCTTGGGTCTATACCTCAGGCACTCAGAGCCACCTACATGTTTGGAGCAGGCATTTCTTACTAAGATATGAGGAGGCTGAAATAATAAGGCCTCGTCAACCGGCATCTATAGGGGTTTCTGAGAAATGCAGATTTTCAAATACTTGTCCAGGAAGGTCATCTTAGACCTGTTTCAACAACTAATTGCTTTTTTATAATTAACACTTGAAAAAACACAGCAACACTCACGCTCAGCAACCCAAAAGAGAGCAATAGTGTTATGTAACAGCAAGAATATTCAATATCGTGAATGTACATAAGCTTAAATGATTCAATATAAGTCATTAATAAGACCAACTTTTGGGTTGCTTTGATTGAATAGACTGTAAGGTTACGTCATCTAAAGAGGAATAGAAAAGAAAAGAGTGAGTATTTCTCGGTCACAATTTATTCCAGATAGTGTGGAAAATACAATTTACAAACTTCATTTTCTGGTCAGGGAGTTTCCTTGGAAGGATTTAGTCTCGTGACCTCAACATTTCTACTCCCCTGCTCAAGTTTAATAGTCTCAAACCATGATTGATGCTTCCATTCACCTTCATTGTACTGCATTGGTGGCAGAAATCCAGACGAATACAACCGAAGCTATATCTCCATGCATGTGCAGATGAACTGACACTTTAGGGTGATGGATTTAAAGCAGAACTACTGTTTTTTTTAAATAAAAAACATTCCCTTCAACTCCTTGAAGGTTTTTTACTTGCTGGTGTATTAATGTCTCTTATAGGTATACATTTATGACGTGTATCTCCATATTTCCATATTTTTGTGCACCTGCTCCCTCACTTTCCCAAAAATAAGCTGAGCGAAGTGCCCTCGACACACTGAGCTGCTGCAGCTCCCTCCCACACATCGTCATACAAGCTTTGTATGCTGGAATAAAGGGAAGTAGAGCAGGTTCGACTTGACTTAGCGGCTTGGCCCTTTAGTGTCAACACCGGTGTCGAGTCAAAGGTCAAAGTTGATTATATCATCTGAAGCGATGCCTTCTTGTTTACAGATTGAGCTTCTGAGCAGAGGTGAGAATGGAGGCGAGAAGCAGAGGCAGAGAAACTGGGATGTGTTTAGGTGCACATTTTCAGCAGCTCGTTTCTTCATAAAAACTCATACAAGCTGGAAATGTAATATTTTATCTCTTTCACAGATATGATCTTAATGGAGCCCACTCAGCCAGAATGAAGAGCCAATCCATTTTCCTGTAATTAAAAGTGTGCGAAAACTGTGGTTTTAACTTTTAAACAAACTCCTCAGCCAACAAAACCCCAAGTCGCAATTAAATCAGTCAACTTATTTTTCTACATTTATACTTAATTTTCCATTTTTAACAAAGCAGAACATTCCTTGGCACATGGACTAATAACAAATTGGCAAATGATGATACTTCTAAGTCACAATTAATTGCAGAGAGGTCAGAAACAATTTCCCAGTGTCCGCTTCATGCATCATATGAGTGTCATAAGAGGAAGCGTTTAAAAGCCTTTGTTGTGCTGTTGAAAGGAGCTGTGTGCGGATAGAGACTCTTATCTGATTTCTCAGAAACCTCATGGCTTACTTGAAGGATTTGCTTCCTTTAAAATGAATGTTAGTCGGTTATATCACCATGTAGGCCGTCACCGGCAGCAAAAAGAGGAGGTGGCAGCCCTGACCTGTGAAAGGCTTCAGCATTGTATCCTTGTAAATCCCGATGTTGTTTCTGGTGTGGCAGCGAAGAACATGGAGCAGAAACACATGCCGGGTTAATGATGCTGTCAGATCGACAGCACGTGAAGCAGATGAGGGGGGGATGGACGGACACCAAAAATAAAAGTGCAGGGTGGTTAAAGAATTGTTTTGGGGTAAAAAAGGCATCAAACGGTCACTTTTCATGACATACATGTTATTCTAAGCTGACTGACAAATGTATATCAGTCTGCTTTTCTTCACTAGACACGCATGTAAAGCTATTGTGTGTGACTTCATGACTTCTGTCCTCGGAGGTGAGCTCACACATAACCTAATTCATGAAGGAACTAGCTTATTAGGGAAGCTTCTAATACCGTCTCACATAGCAGGGCTGCAGTCTCGTACGTTGGAAATTTGTAATATGAGAAGAATTTATGTGGAATTGCAGCATTTGTCTTTGATGGAAACCTAAACTGCACACACACACACACCAGACTAGATGAAAATGTTTTATTCGTTAATTTTGTTGCATCTTAAAGTGCCGCATTGGGACAGAAGAAGAAATCAAGTGAGAAAATGAAGGAACCCCATCGGCAGCCACTCAAAGTCTTTGCTGTTAATTCAAAAAACGCCAGAGGACTAACAAAGCTCAAAATATGTTGCAGTTCATTTGACATAAATAACTTGTGGGAATTAAACATCTCACCCATTACAGAGACATATTGTTATTGCTTCCGTACAGTAACGGCCCTTTTAGCAAAGCACTTGGGCCGCGTGATCCAACCAAATCAAAACAGCCTGACAGGCACAATTATGTTGTGAGACACGATGACAGTGATGATAACCAAAAACGCTCTCAGACCCGATTCTGGCAACAGCTCATAACTTTGAAAAACAATAAGGGAATACAACAAGTTATCATATTACTGTATGCTACACAAAGAAGTACCCAGCGTATTACGGTAACACATTATTAGAGCATCTCTTCTGTTATCGTCCCTTTGTGGAGTAGAGATGAAGCGTATGAATGCTTGTTAAGAGAGATTTTAATAAGACTTTTTAAAATATAATATCCCTGTAAGTGCACAGCAATCGCTCGGTGTCATCAGTTCACAAAGTGGTTACCTCCTCTTATAAAAAAGACAGGCACTTTATTCATTACTTGGATAACGGCAATATTGTGTGGTCTAAATCAAAAGAGCTCCTTGTTTCGTGAATAATCATAATCAAAAGTATAATCAGTCAGAGAGGAAACAGAGACACAGAACAAAGCTTTAAGCTATGAGCGTGAACTTTGTGAACAACTTAAGACTGCTCGGTGTGTGTGGCGACACGTGTGTGTAGACACATTTATAAAAGCTGGATACGTGCACCTGAAGGCACCATCCAAGCTGACTGACTGTAAACGAAAGCAACCACACATGTACGAGGAAATATTTTATTATTTAAAAAAAGTACAAAGTGAAGATTTAATACTTTTCTAATATAGTTTCTAATATATTAAAGCTAATAAAAATCGGCAGTCTCTGCATAGATAACGTCTCGTCAACTTCTCAAGACGCGAGTCTCATTTCTGTCCTTTTATTCCTCTTTATAACTCAATATTAGCATTCAAAAGCTATGCTTACGCCAGCAAAAGCAGAATAAAACGTCTTTCTCCGAGTCTGAATCAGATAACAGCTCCTTTAAAAAAAAAATCGTACAATGTAATATACTCATGGGACGAAAAGAAAAAGCTCTCTTAATTAATGTTTGTGAGCATAAATCATTTAATAATGAATTATTGGAGGTTGTGGGGGAAACATTTTGTTCACAATACCTTAATGTAAACTGTTAAGTCTTTGAAATACACATCCATCTGGTGGTTCAGGTGAAAACATGAAAATTATAAAGAGGTTTCAGTATTTGAAAGTATTTCTAATTCCCCACATTATTAAATGATAATCTGTTTATTTTTCTCGCCCCCTCTGACACCATCATCAACACCCGTCAGTGATCACTTTAATTAGTTTCTTATTGAATCCACATAATGTATTTTATTTTCTGCATACATTCAGTGCATTGTTTCACAAGTAAGACGGTACTTTTTAAATTAAACATTACTAAAGTGGACAGTTTTCTTACAGGTAGTCAGTACAGCCTGTCCTTGTAGGATTCTTTTGCATGAATATACCATCATATAGATATTCACTTTTAGGCTGCAGTGTTTGCTGTAAAGCCTTTATTACATGCCTGAGGATGCAACTATTTGCATTCCTATCAATAACTGTCCCTCACAGTAAAGGGCATTACAGCACTGATGCATTATGTTTCGTAGAAGAGACTTCTGAGTAGTTTGAAATGAAATACACCTAAAAATCAGATATGTATGATTTGCAGCATTTTTGTTAAAAGTGACAGTTGGATACAATCTGTGTTTTCTTCTCCCAGAATTATGAACAAAACAGGAGCTGGGGTTAGCTGAGCTGAAGAGTAATAATGCCGTTTGAACACCACAGAAAGTGTTGATTCTGGGACTATTGTGACAAAGACAGACAAGAGGTTTTAGAAGGCATGAGCCATCGCCACAGTGATTTCTTCCTCTCCACGATTGCCACTTATTTGAAGCGGCTGGGTGAAGGAGGCTGCTTTCATCATACAAGCGTTACCTGTTTCCATACAGTAGTACAACCATACACCCAAAGTGAGGCTTGGATTGCCGTTGAAATCCTTTATAACAGCTGGAATTTTGGTTGAGATGGAGAAGGGCTTCGACAGATCCACAATGTCCCCAGTAACCACACGACTTTCTAGCAGCCATTCGTTACCTGTGAAAAACAGGAAGCAGAATTTTGTAGTCTGTCAAAGTGACAAAATCAACATTCTGATACAATCTGGCTAAAGAAGAAACAGATAAAGTCACAGAAGAGATGCCAACATGCTAATATTAAGCAGGTATAATGTCTACATGCTCAACACCGTAGCAGCATGCTACCTTTTGCTAATTGGCACTAAGCAAACATAAACCGAAAGGACAAACTCAAGTGTTGACCAGATGTTTGGGCTGGAATAAATGTTTAAGAGATCACCAGTCATTAGGAGCATGAATATCGATACAAAATCGAATGGCAATCCCTCCAATGGTTGTTGAGATTTATCAGTCTGCACCAACGTGGTTGACCGACCGACATTGCCACTAAACAAGATCAATCTTCAGCTTTGACCCAGATCAGTCCCAATGTGCCATGTCCTGAAAGGACGGATGTGTCTTTATGAAAATGTCTGTCTGGAATCTAACTTTATGGTCGAGCATGGCAAGGTGTACTAGATTGTCTGAGCACTGTTAAATGGAGTCCTCTACAATATTCCCCTCTCATAACATGACTGAATCAGACGGATTGAGGCTGAGGACATGAATTTACTGAAACACGGGGGATATTTTTAGAAACAAATACACATCGAACGAGACGTGACCCCATGAATGATAAATGAAAGTCGAAAAGGAAAGGCTAGAACTTTTGACTGTGAGAAAATATTATGCCAGAGAGACCGTCAAAATCCATGCCAGCAGTGATTAATGATGCTGATGCCTAACATGAGGTCCCAGGGCAGCCATTTCTAAAAGCTACAAAAAAAAACAATTTAAATCCGCCGTGCACTTCCAACTTTATCCATTAAAATTCCTGCCTCTGCTCTGATCTGATCAGCATAAGTCTAGACCGGGTATAATCGGACAGCGGAGGATCACGTAACATAGCCTGGTAGCTAATTATGTGAACCAAGGCATGTCGTCTTATCGAAATGTTCTAAAAATAGCCTGCTGATATCGCCGACTGCACGCTGCACCGCTCACAATGATGGAAACACTTTTGTTCTAAACCGAATGCATGGACCATCACCCGTTACTAACATGATATCTCAAATCCCTTCACACTCGGTGCTAGGGTCAGAATACTGTCGACTACAAATTGAAAACATTGAAAAACACATTTTGAATAGTATTATATATTGTCTGTGCCGTGTGAAACCGCTCTAGTGCTTTGAAAGAGTCCCAGACTGATCTAAATATTCCTCCATCCCTCAGCTGAGAACTGTAAATCCCAGGTGAGGGATCTACTTGTTGTGCAGTGAAAGTAACACAAAGGTTAAGAATCGTTCACTTCCATTACGTTTTTGACAGAATCATGGTTCACAGACCAAAATAAAGCAGAGAAGGAGAAGTTAAGAGGCTCACATCCAGAACAGGGTCATCACAAATGTAGAGAACAAGTTTGAGTTGCAACTCTGACTCTACCCTGATTTCTTTATGCGGATATGAAGTCAAATGTATGATGAATCTGAATGAAACGTTTACATTGCATGGCATTAGTAACAATGACTGAACTCCGTCTCACCCTCAGCTGAGAGGGCCCAGCAGCTGGGGGCCTCTTCCGTGAGCTTGGTTCCTTCTGGAAGCGACAGGGTGAGTGACATGACAAGAGTCTGACCTGCCGACACTGCCACTGCTGGCATTTCTCTCCTGGCAGCTGATTTAGGCAGCGTGGGGGCTTTGGTAGGACCAGAAGGCTTTGAAGGCACTGAATCTGTGCAGTCCGTAGAAATGGGGAACTGGACAGGAGAGAGTTTTGGATGTTTTGGATTAAAGAGGAGCAAGGAGAAAGCGATCAACACTTGCAATGCCATTCTTTAGTCACCTCATATCCAAACGATTCTAGCTTTTGGGATAGATTAACTACATGCAGGTGGACAGACACATGCTTTATTATGGTTGGAAGTGAGCTTCTCTTACACACATACACACACAGGTCTCACCAGTGAAACAGTCTTGGAGGACAGGTCCAGAACTTTGACTTGGTGGTTGTTGGTATCGGCCACGTAGAGAAGCTTGCCGCCGTCGCCAACACAGATTCCTCCGGGTTCATTGAAGCAGGATTTGTTAAATTCAGGGCCCAGAGTATCTCCAACCTTTCCGGTCCCTGCTAGTGTGCTACACTGCTTCACCTTTGGATCCACCACCTTGATCTGAACATAATCACCCAGGCACATAGATACAATCAAACAAAAGTCATGTGGGGTTTGTTTTCGATCAAAAGACACACACACTCTTTGTGTATCCACTCAACAACCTTAAGGACCCCATTATGATGGCAGAGGCATCAAATGTGAGCATGCTACATCTTTGAACTTTAGCCTTGCAACGTGCAACAGTTACCTTGTGGTTGTAGGAGTCGGCCACATAGAGCAGGCTTTGTTCAGGAGCCCAGGCAACACCGAGAGGATGCTGCAGCTTAGAATCCACCCCTTTCCCGTCGACATCCCCGAAAGCAAAAAGGTTCTGGTTCAAAGAAGAGATCAAAAGTAGATATGAAAACATACAAATGCCCAAACTGCAACTTGTGACCCCTATGTCTAAGCTCAACGTGGGTCAAAGAACAAAGTATCCAATCTAACTCAATGAATTGCCTCTAACTGGATTTAAAACAGGCTTTTTAACCATCAAGATAAAGGACTTTCTTTTTTTTAAATCCAAGCTGAAGCCTTTCCCATGCTGTAAATGATCAGTGAAGAACACTTGAAATAAAAACATGAAAGCAAAAATTGGCTCTGTTGATTTAAAAGTTTCTGAATAATTCATATGAGCAGCAAGACAAGAATTAATATATCACATTTGTAAAAAAAACAGCAGAAAGATTAATCGCATTAGTTACTATGGTAAAAATAGTTAGATGAGTCATTCTTGAGTTGTTTTAATGAAAAGTACAACATAAATATTCAATGTCATTAAAAAATGACAAAGGGGAACATTTTTTCATGCATTTTCTGAAAGTGAGAAAAAGGTTAATTAAGTGAAAACAGTTCTTAGTGCTTCAGATTATTCCAGGCCAACATGACCCAAACAGATACATTACTATTACAGCCTGCTGACAACCAATCTGTGAGAAATTGGGAGGGATTCAAAAAAATGTGTGGAAAGGGCAATTGGCCACTTTACGCATCCGGCCCGCTTTGGCGTTGCGGCTGGTAATCCCATTGCAAGATGGTCTCTAGTTTTCTAGAAAGAGACATTGCTGGTGAGTTTATCAAATTCATTATTTTGGCACTTTGAGCACTGCAAGTCGAGTACCATCTAGTCCCATTATATTTGAGAGAAGACATCTAGGTTGGATAAATAGCACTACGGTAGAGGAAAACTATATATTTTTGATTTTGGGGTGAACTGTCCCTTTAAATATTATTAAATAATAAATTCTCCTTTACAAAAAACACTAAAATGGTCAGAAATTATCCTAACAAGGTCAAAGATAATTTATGGACCTTAAATAATCAAAAGGGAAAGAGGAAGGAAACATAATTAAAGCCACTTGGGATTCACTTAGTGCTTTGCTCTCTCAGGCTGGTTTGTGCATAAGTAGTTGTCATAAACGACCCATAATAATGTAACCAAATAAACCAAAAGGTATCCAAAAGAAGAAAAAAAGAAATAATGTTCAAAAATCCATTCATCCAGTTACAAATTCATCCACCATCCAGTCATCCATCCATCAACTGTTGCACACCCACCAGTGGATCTCTCTCTCCTCCGACCAGCAACTTGACGGCTCCGTCCTTCAGTGCCAGCGTGCGGATGGTGCTGCTTTCGCTGTCGGCCACATACAGGCAGCCCCAGGGCTCCTCTGGGGCTGAAGCCAGGCCCGAAGGCTGTGCAAAGCCGGCCTTGTGGGGGTACGAGTTGTTTCGGTTCTCCTCGTGGCCGCTGCCTGCCCATCGCACGCACGTTCCTGCCTTGGACTCGCTATGTTGTAAAATAGAAGAAAAATGACACTTCAACGCATTGCTGGGTAGAGTTCATTTGACCGCTCAACATTTTCATTTGCTTTCAATTCTTTTTATACTTCAAGAAGAGTTATGAGTGGCTTAGAAGGGTGGCTGCTGCCAAGTGGCCATGGTGGTGATGCACCAGTCTCTCACCTTCCTTTGGGCAGTTTCCCATCTGCTAGGAACAAAGCCCAGATCTGGTGGGTCCCTGCCATGGCTATCCACAGCACGTTACCTTCAGCACCGCCTACACACACAAATGAAACGCGCACACACAAACACACTCTTTTGAGCTGAGAACCGGGGAACTTGTGTCTCTGCTTTTGGCTGTCTGCCAGTCACCCACAATATCACCCAGAGGTGGTGCTAATATTCATCCTACAAGGTGAAAAGTCTTTTACTTTGCAGCTATGCAGGTTTAAGTGACGGCCGCCTGTCTGACAAAGACCATATGCTGCCTCGGATGCGCTCAGCAGAGACAATACTGTCACTGTGATAAACACACAACCTTTACAGAGAGTTGCATTTTTAATGCCGCGCAGAGCTCCGACCTTCTTGATCACATCTGGCGGACTGTCAGGAACATCTGACGGCTCCGGCTCCCGACTCACAGCAACAATGTCACTGTTGTTACTTTTCAGTTCAAAAGGTGTAGGGTCCTCTTGATTCGGTCAATTGAATTATTCATGCACATGGCGGATAAATCATGAATATGCAATGAGTGTTTGGATGTACTCCCAGAGGACAATGTTCGTGGAGTTAAAGGTCTGATATCGCATCTTCAGATCATGTGGTGATGTGCAAACCAGCAGGTTGTGTCATCCATCAAGCTGTGCAGAAAATGTGACTGTCACTGATTACCTCTTGCTTACAGGCTGTGTGCAATAATAGAATATTTGCACTAATGGCCCTAAAATTTGAATGGAATTAATACTTTAAATTCACATGAGCGTGATTAATATTTCTTTAGATTTTTCAATACTATTATTTTATGTATTTATAAAATGGGAAAAATTAAGCAATTCTGCGTTGTTAATTGTTAATAAAGTCATTTGTCACATTTTAAAACAGCATTTTTCAACAAATAAATATCTTGCTAATGAGGGCCTGTAGTATGATCCTAAAGAGACAAATGTAAAGAAATTCATAAAACTTTTGGAATGATAATAATAACAACAAAAAATAAGTCTAAGGCTATGCATATTAGACGAACAAAATGATTCCGCCAACACAACACACAGTACCAACTGAAAGGCGTGTTCATAATTTGGTAGGGGCATCTCTGTGTCTCGCAACACTTGTCTGCTGTCTGATCTTGAATCTGCAATGCGAACAGACAATAAGGCCTGATGGCAACACACTCATACTCAGAGACAGAAGGTCTGAGAGATTCAGACGAGTTAAAAAAGCTTTCTGCTCTGATGAAAAAAGCGCACCGTGTGACACATATTATAAACTCTGAATGCCCAAGGCAACAATAATAACAGAAAAGCATCTCGAGGGACTGAGCTTTGATTTTAAAGTGGAGGTTTAGATTACTTTGAGAGAATATAAAAGACCTTGTCAGGTATTTTACAGTTTGTGACTTGCATAGTTTCGACTCAGTATTGATTTTTGTCCTCAAAATGATTCAGTAGAACTTAGTATCCCCAACGAATGACATGCTATAGATTCAACATTCTCTTCCAATAAGTTAATTATCCTGTGATCCCTAAACGTTAAGTATGATTTCTTCAACTGATTGCAAGTTTTTGGCGCACTCTAATTATCCACTAAATATGCTAAGTTGCAAACAATTCCTGTAAAGATGTGATCACACCTTTCACGTTTCAAGTTCCGGTCTGACTGCAGCACAACACTCACCGGCGGTGCCAAGAGTCACATCCCAAGGAGAGCTGATGGGCTGCTGAGGTCCCATTGAGCCCCCCTCTTTGTCTGTGCCCTGAGCTCCTACTCCAGCTAGAGTGCTGACTCGTCCCTCCAACAGGTCGATCTGAAGCACAGACAAGACGGGCATGAACGTATGGATAAACATCAGGTGAAATCAGATTGAATTTAAAGACAAAGTTAGGGACTCTACCTTACGGATCAGGTGGTTTTCTGTGTCGGCCACGTATACAGCTTCCCCTTTAATGGCCACACCTTGAGGGGCGTTAAAGGAAGCTTCGGACAAGTCACCATCTTGTCTTCCACTTTTTGGCCCTTGGACAGAAGTGATAATGCCTCCAATGCCTCACTTGTAGTTCATATCGAGTCCAGAAGTTAAATCTTTTTTTGTATTCATTATGCACAAAAGCTTCTGCCAAGTTTTAATTCTTCCTCACATATTCCAGTTTAAAAAAAAGCACTCTTTCAGTAAACCCAAGAGTTGGATTACGGTATTTTTAATGTTCCCGGCCTAAACTTTTGGTCGAAAAAATAATATAATATGACGGATGATTTTATGATTATTAAATCGAAGGATACGTACAAGGCCAGCCCATTTACTGGAGCACTAACGGCCTGTCACTTCTGTTAGTGGCTTAATTATTTAAATTTATGAATGAGGCATTTTTAATTTAATGTGCTTCCTTCATGGAACACATTTCCTCAGGAAGATGTGAGACACAAGAAAAACTATTTTTCTGTCCAAATAAATGCCATCTTTTTCATACTGTTCTAGGGATGAGTGGGATCAACCTACAAAAATAATACAAATCCTGCATTTCTTCCCCTCATTTCGTCCACAGGTCAGTGCCAGCTCCTAGCGTGTACTAGTCCCTGCTTTTGCCAACCTCTCTGTTGGTCGGTGGACAAAACGGTGCACCATGTAGCTGCTCTGAGGGTTGTTCAGGCAGGCGAGTAATCTAGAACCATCTATAACGCCTACATGTTGTTTTATTGTACAGATTCTAGTCATCACAAACCTTATTACAAAACCAATACCTTATTTTTGATCCACAACTCACTTAAGTTAGCACATATAACAGAAAAATGTATATCTTTTCTTTCAATGGGCACATTTTAGTATTTTACAAATTAAATATCCACTCCACCAACTCAGAAATGATGTCTTGAGGTCCCACCAAACACACCTATGCAATTTTAACCATATATGTTTTATAATTCTTACCTCCTATGACACGTAACAGCTGGCCAGCTGAGGAAACCACCAGAATTCGGTGATGTCCGGTGTCTGCTATGGCCAGTCTTTTCTTGCCGCTGTCCACGGCCACCTTCCCAGGGAAAGACAGGACACTGGGTGGCAGGGAGTCTCGGTACAGCTTGATCCCCACTGCGTGTGTCTTCAGAAGACCCTGCTCCCCGTAGTGACGGAGGGCGCTGGCAGTAAAAAGCATGAGCCTGTCACGGTGGCCTTCGCCCACCAGGGAGAAGAGCAGGTTGCCACGTGGGCCCAGTAAGACCAGCGTGGGCCAGCAGGACACCTCCAGTTCATGCCAGAGGTGCGCCTCGCTGTCGTTCACCACCGGATGGCAGATGTCATAGCGGAGCACGGCGCTGCGAACGTTGTCCAGGACCTTTGACGGGTCAGAGACGAGCATAGACAGATGAGTGAAGAGCTGTGAATCTGTTGCTGAATGTAAGAGCATTCATTAATGAACTATAGTTATAATAAAGTATTTCCCATCCAATTTCCAAGCACTCAAGGGGACATATTCAAAGTGCTTGTTTACCTGACCAAAAAGTCCTATGTACACTATCGTGTATGAAAGAAAGCATCAGCGAAATAAAAGAGAAGAGAGATTGACAGGATCACGAGGATTTTCTGGAGATCCAAGCATGTTTTCTGGTCTTAAACCAATAACAATAATGCTTTTAGATGTGATAATTCTGATAGATATCGTCTGATATCTCATGCTGGTAAAACATTACAGATTGATGCTTTGATTTTGCCTGGCGAAAGAGTGCTCTATGTTGTCTCCCATCATACTCAAAATGACACATAAATGAGTAAATGCCGCACAAGCAGACCAGCCAACTCAAAACAATAAATGCTGATAAACAATGAAAATCACTTACCTTTTCATTGGGGAATTTAGCTGAGTGCACACCAACAACAACCAATCCATCTGAGAGGGAGATTAAACAGAGTCAAAAACAACACAGTACAGTCAGTGGTTTGACGCGCTCACAATCAAAACTGTCCATTTCCAAATGTATAGGACATATCACTAAGCTTCATTCCCTCAAAAAAAAAGCACAAAGCCTGTCAATTAGTGTGTTTGTCACAAAGACACAAACCTCCAACGCACAGATGTGTGTAATTAAGAGAATTGGGGAGAGGGAGGGAAACGGATGTGATTCTAAACTTTGTTATTAAGTCAGTGACCCTCCAGTATTATATATAATGTAGGTCTCAGCGAGATTCCTAGAAATGTTTCGGCGCCTCAAGGCTGTAAATGTTTATCTCGATGAGTTCAGTCATCAAAGACTAGTAACTCTATCTGTATTGAACGGAGAATGACAGGGATTGGTTGGCGTGTGTGGCTTATGACAAGGATGAATGTTATGCAACTGAACGGCTTTGTGAGGCTCTTATGAACACACTTTTTTTGGTAGAAAAATGTGTACAGAGGTGGTCTTACAAAACAGATGTCCCGATAAGTTTCTTAATTAGTGTGGGACTCTCTATTGAAACACTTTTGTACTCATGTCATCCTGAGGCACAGTCTCAAATGCAGTACATGCTCATATGCACTGTGGTCCTCAAATGGGCAAATAAAATGCATAATTCAGTTGTGAAAAACTATTTGAAATAAGTTCATCCTCATAATTAACAGGCATACAATATATTCACGGTAAGTGGGTTTGTTTGTTGTCACACAAAACAGTTTTTTAAATTGTAATTCAGATTTCACTTCCAATGACAATGAGGCAGAGAGAACTTCTCCATCCTCCTTAAATGGACTCAATTGGACATTTCTTCTACATTTAACTCACATCATCGAGCCGCCCTCGACAGACGTAAACGCAAACAATTCCAAACCTTCAAACTCACACCCTCTGCAGTGGATTTCATCACCCATGGCCCCCGCCAAGCAGTATAGCAGCAGCACAGATTGCAGTGATGATGAGTGGGAGGGGTGGGGGGGGGGGGGGGGGGGGGGGGGGGGGGGGGGACTGTGGGAGTGACTGGACAGGGTGGCTCCCACACCTCACTGACCAGAGCAGCAAACAGAATGTACTCATAGCAGTGCCAAAGATAAGGCGAGGCCGATAATGTGAGGTGGCACTGCAGTGTGTGCGTGTGTGTGTGTGTGTGCGTGCTCCGGGTCCCGCCTGGCTCACAACTGAATTTCAAGCTGCACGGCTTCGTCAGATGATCCCTCGAAGGGCCAGAAGGATGACAAGAGTCAGTCGGATGTGGTTATGCTGTACATGGAGTGGCTATAAAAATAGCCACACAGCTAACTGCAATTATGGGACCTGTCCACTGCAGCGTGGAAATATGTTTGGTTACTTTCTCTTCACATCTGAGATAAGGGTCCTCATGCACTCGGGCAAGAAGAGGAGAGAAGTCGAGCTGATGCACGACAGCTTCTCCGCCCCAGTGACACATGTTCCCGTGATGCTGTACGACGCATGATAGAACTCGTACTTTTCGCCGCCAACTGACGCTGATTTAAGTGACATTTGTTTTTGTCACCAGATTTTGTGTGGTTCCTTTTGGAGCCACAAAAGGCGTCATACCTTTAGAAACACACCGATGAGACACACTGTTGCACTGATCACCATGAACATGGATACTGTAGTCTATTTTGAGTCAATCCCACACACACACACACACACACACACACACACACACACACACACACACACAGTCTTTGTGTCGAAAATATTCACTGGAGCACCAGATGTCTATTAATCCGTGGCTGAAAATAGTCCCTGATTCTGCTTAATTTTAATAGTGGGAGGACGATAAGTAGTCTACTTGGGGTGCATTGTCCTATATTCCCACATCATAAAAGGTTAATTTCTATGTAAAATGTAATATTTTTTACAGTAAATAAGCTCTACAAAAGTGTGAGACATGGCATTGTTACCATACACCTCCACCCCTTTAGGATCAAGACACCCATGTGTACTGCTGCTTTAAAGTCCATACCTTTGGCAGAGTGCTTCTTCTCTAGATGGTGCAGGTCAGGCAGGATGTGCATGCAGTTGATGCAGCAGTAAGTAAAGAAGTCCAGCAGCACCACTTTACCAGACAGCTCCTTGTTCAAAGACAGAGGCCCCTCCGTGTTCAGCCATTCCAAGCCTGGAGCAAACCACAGAGTGGAAAATGATGCGGTCGTCTCATTAATCATTTTTTAAGTCACAGCACAGGCAAATGCTTCACACTGCTTATCACTGTACTGGTATATCTGTCTGCTCTGATTGCATTTATGTCATATGGAATACAAGTTGATGGATCAAAGCATGGACTTGGAAGTGCTCGAAGCGTCAGAGGTGTTGTGTAGCTATTAAGCGCCCAAAAAAATGAATTTCTGTAGATCTAGATTGTGTCTGATAAGTTTTTTTTTTACACTTACCTTGCATGCACTCTCGATTGTCTGATAACGTTTGTCACACTCCACTCACAAGCTTGGATTAATGCATTTACTTTTGTATTTTAAAACACCAAAATCCAGCCTGACGTACCTGGAAATCATACTCTACCCTCCACATTAACTTTTTAAGCCTTTTGGAAAGTCATTGTTTTACTTGTGCTGCTGCTTAACTTTACAATGTCTCAATAGAAAGAACATTTCTTAATCACAGTAGCACTTGCCCTGGTTAAACAAAGGGTTAAAAAAGGGTTACTCCTCTTTTTTTTCCAGCTTTAAGAATGATGCAAGCACAGATCAAGTAGGAATAAGAATAATTGGTTCTGATTTCAAAGTCTCAACACATCTCATCTCACAAATCCTTTCTTATTTGTGTGGTCTAAAACTTGGCTGGTATTCATTTAAAGTAAAGTAAAGAAATTATGGCATCAAGGAAAATGTAGATAATAGTTACAAATGGCAAATGTCTCTTTGACCATGCAAAAGGAAAGATATTGGATACATTCACGCACAATACTATTATGAATGGGTCAAGTACACAGTCACAAAAAGAAAACGTTATGAAGTGTTTTGACCACTTGTCGAATTAATCCCCCAAAAAAGACTTTCAATACACTTTCTCTTATCCAGGTAAGCAACACCTTTTTGCTGTCGTGCCCCCTTGTCAAACCTCAAAACTATAAATCCCAAATTGGCAAAATATAGAGACAAACATTTAAAACTTGTGTTTGTTTTGCAGTTTAAAAATGAGCTATGAACTGTTAAGATCCCGTACAGCCATGTTAATTCTCCCGTTTGATGTTCTGCTGTAGATCCCCATCTACTGGTGTGGTGTGACATTGCCAACACACCGCAAACCTCAACAGAGGAACTAACTGCAGGGTTGACACCAGAAGTATTTGATGTGTTTCTAATCCTGGCAGCAGCATGAAGGTTATACAGTGAAGCATGTTCAATAAAGCCCAGAGGAGGACAAATACAAAAGCAGAGAAAAGGAAAGGAAACATAACGCATTGCTATATGTAGATTTGAGGTTTCCTGATGATGCCATACTTATTGTTATAAAACAGAAACTCGAATGAAGGCATCCATTAGACACATTGACTGCTACAAGCTCTTGCACAGCTGATATATTTGCAAAAAAACGCACCACAGGAAGCATTGCACTTAAAACAAAAAGTTGAACCTACAAAGCAGCTGTTATTATGATTCGGAATTAGTTTGTGTTGCTGTTCTCTGGCTGACTGTGTCACCAGTCAATGCCTTTGTGAACAGTCAGCTGTTTTGGGAGTAGATGTGAGAGTAAACTCTGACCAAACAGTTTTCAAACCGTATGAAGAAGTCGGGTCCTGTAATGGCATGTCCGCAAACTCAAGTCAAACTGTAGAGCAACTATGACAACTAGAGCTGTAACGTGGTCTAACCTGTCTGGAAATCGGGTATCTTCAGATCCTCTCTTTCGTCTAGTTTGTTCAAATACTCTTTGACAAGATCTTCTTTCTCTTGTTCAGTCGTGGCGTCATCTAGGGCGCAATCCAGCTCACTTTGGATAGGAAATAAGGTAGAGAGGCTGCACTGGGACGCCATGTTTCAAGCGACAACAACCAGCCTCTGCTAGGTAAACTCACACCGAAGATTCTTACCGTTGGTTTCGTCAAAACAGTAAAAATAAAAGAATATTGTTATTCAGAAGGCTTTTTATCTGAATTGTAATTTACATTTAACTGAATGACTTTTCATTGAAAATACATTTTACTCGTTTTTTTTTTTAAAAGACCAAATGCTTTGTTTTGTGAAATATGTCGAATGTGCTGTTCTGTGTCTCCAGTTGTTTCTACTACATTCATTGTTGTCCTGTGGCGGTAAGCCCTAACTTGTTATAGCGGACCACACCGCATGTAGCTACAGCTACACACGCTCAATATCGTAATTACTAATCATGGGGAAACTATTTTTTTGCAACGGAAAGTATCCCCGCAGTTGTACGTAATCTACAGTAGCCGTTCATGTACTGTGACGTTTATTAATTTCGGCAACCGCGCGATGTTAGCAAACACTTACTTTTGGTAACGTTACCGCTTTCTTTTGCTCCAAATGTCACAGAAGGACGACTCTGAAAATGACATTTGGGAATATAAACCTCTCGAGAAGAAAAAGAAGAGACACGAACCACCCGCTGTGACTAAAAGAAGATGTACTGTGAGAAAAACCTCCAAGAGAGACGCTTCTGTCCCGGTCAAGTCACCTGATATTCCCTCAAAGTCATCATCTACTAGTGATACAGTGCAACCAGACAATGCTGCTGAGGGACCTTCCTCTGGAGACTTTTGCCCCATGTGTCAGATGCCCTTTTCCATTTTGGTGGTACAGACTCAAAGATGGCATGTTGCTGAATGTCTTGACACCTCCAGGGACTCGTGCAAAGGTACAGACATCCATACTTCTTCATATATACTTTATGTAAACACACAAGCCCTCATTTGCACACCTGTCATCCTGTATTCAGGTGGACATATGGTGTCACTGTCAATCAAGGAAATTATAAATATTTGCAGAGTTGGTCGTGTGAGGCTTAAAACATTGACAGTGTAGCTCAAAATTCATTCAACTTTGTTTGAATGACCGTGAATGGTGGACTTTGGCTGATGTGAGGCATCCATATTTGTTTGCCTTTCAGGTATTATCAAAAATAATGAAATTGAGTACTCAGTCATGATTACAACCTGGATGTTGAGAACATTATTTACAAGCCAGAAACTGGTCATTGGAGTAATGACATGAACATGGCATCAGATTCTCCCTTATTGGTAAATGCGCATATCTTTCATGCACACAACATCCAACAAGCCCGATTAAATAACATCTTTACCATGTAATCTGAACCTCAAAGTCTTCGAATGTCTGTATTTTGAATGTAGACTGTGCTTTTGAATAATTATCTTTTTGTACAATGCTGATGAGCCTAATTTCTACATGTTTTATCTGTTTGCACAGAATGTCCAAATGGCCTTCAGTGCTTCTCCGCCATTCCAACCCATTATAAGAAATTCAACCACACCCTCCTGGCCCATAGTCGAGCAAACAGTGACACAGCCCTCCGCAGTCTGTCCCAGCAGGCAGAAACACTCAGTTGTGCCCCAGGACTGATAAACAGTGAGGTGGATGGCTCTATTTTAGAGACTTCACAGGGAAGTGCTCTCAGTCTTTCTGCCTTATCCAATCGTAGCATCTCCCCTCCCCGTAATCACATTGGAACGCCTCCATCTAAACTTACAAATGGACTTCTGCTACTGCGCTCACCTGGCCCAGAGGATTTTAAGAAAAAGAAAGGCTGGTCGCCCTCCACTAAAGGCCAAACGTCTATCAGTTCTTCCCAAGAAAGTAGAACAGAGCTTTCATCCACTCCTGTCAAGGCAGAGAGTGGAAGACAAGCTTGTGAAGGTTCCCCCAAAAGTGAATCTGTGAACGATGATGCAATATCCTACTCTCCTCTTTCTGAATTCCCTGCGGAGACTGAAGTCAGTAATAGTGAATGTCACAAAGCACTTTTTAAGAAAGATGCATTTGAAAATGTGGCTGAAAACTCGATGGTGCTGTTAAGTGACGGTTTCTCGAGTGACGATGAGATCCTCACTGACTTTATAGATAATTTGGAAACTAATAATGTGCAGGTGAAGGAGCCGGCGTCCTCAAACACCCAGCTGCATTCAGTTACCACTAATCAGCCAGCTGCCGCCACAGTTGCTGAAAACCGAGTTGGTGAAGAAGAAGCTCGCGGTGAATCTACCAGTGCCATCGGTCCACGTAAACGCAGCATTCAGTCTCCTCAAAGTATTGTGTTAGAGCGCCTGAGAGAAACTCTTTTAAGCTCAGATAGCCTGCCTTTAAAGAACTCGAATGACGGCAGTATTCCAGGGCCTTCATCACAAGCCTCCATTGTCCAGAGATCTCAAACAACCATGTCGCCACAGAAGGTTCAGATCAAGACTGGTCAGGCCGCCTGTCTGAAGCAGACGGACATTGGGGTGTTTTTTGGCCTCAAACCCCTCAAGGAGAAGGAGAAAGTGTCTGAGAGTGGACCAAATGAACTCAGCACTGTTCCAGTACAGAGGAGAGAGAGGCAAAGAAAAAGTGGGGCTGACACAACCGCTGATTCCTCACAGGGCGCAGTGACTGGAGATAATAGAGATGCAGGGAAAGGTAGGACCAGAGGATGGAGAGGATGGAGAGGAGGAGGAGGAGGAGGAGGAGGAGGAGGAAGATGGAACAGAGGGAGCACCGCTGGAGAAGTGGAGTCATCACGTTGTCCTTTCTACAAGAAGATTCCAGGTCAGCGAGGGACTATACCTCATTTATCGCTGCATACATTTTAATTATTTTGTGTTTTGTTATCTAAAATTATGCTAAATTGTATTTTTCTCAGGCACAAAGTTTGTCATAGATGCCTTTCACTATGGAGAGGTCCAGGGCATCACTGCCTACTTCCTAACACATTTCCACTCGGACCACTACGGAGGTTTGACCACAAAGTCCACATTTCCCATCTACTGTAACAGAGTAAGTCAGGCATTGGTTGTCTTATGACTTCTAGTTGAGCTGTGCATCAAATAGCCATAAAGTCAATTACTTTACTATATTATTTTTACTTTATTACTTTCTCTAGACTGTGGCAGTTTTTATATGAAACAGTTATGATTCCATTTAAGTCCACCGCTGAAACGGCATCACACACAAACTCAATATTTTTATACTTCATACAGAGAAAGTCTGTTTTGTGTCGTTAATAAATGGCAGGTCTCTCCTCCAGAAGCCTTTTTGTCCTCGAATACTTTGGAAGAAATTCATTCACAAAGCTTCTTTTTGTTTTTTTTAAATGCATTCCATTAAAAAGCTTCCTCGATGCTCTCTTCCATAGAGTAAATGCCTGATCCATTTCTTATCTCACTGCACTGCATGGACTCAGTAATGGAAAACGAGCTTGCAGTTTTGAATACCAATCAGCCAGTGACTCTGACCATATTGGAGTTGATTGAAATTTAAAGACTTTTTGTGTTTTTTGTTTTTATACACCGTTTTAGATAAAAACACTTTACATCCAGGACATTCAGTTTTTTCTGGGTCCGTTTGTCTTTCCGTTTATAACTTTATAACTTTTATTTGTTGTCACTGTGCAAATCCAGTTGTGGTGCATCAATTAAGCAACAGACTGAATGAATTGAGGTGTGTAGCAAAACAAGTAAAGATTTTTAATTCAGACTTTAAACTTCTGTCTCGTTCAAACTAGAAATGTAATTTGTTTACAGTATGATACTTATGGCATTGCTGTTGTTTTAGTTATCTTACTGGGGTATTTAGGAATGTACCTCTGAAACTAATGAATACCCCAATAGATGGTATCCAGAATAAAAGGTATCGGTGAAAGAAGCTGGATGTCAATTCTCCCGTCAAATGGGTCATGATTGATCAGTGTGTGCTATCTTGGGATTTTGTTTATTTGGGAGGTCACATAAATTCAACTTGGACGCTAGGTGGGTCATAGCCCAGAAAAATCCAATTTAGCATTCAGGTTTTTCTAGCTTTTGTGGCCGTTGTCGAGTCACGTTGACTGACGGCTGCCTCGCCTGCTCAGATTACAGGGAACCTGGTGAAGAGCAAACTGCGGGTGGCTGAGCAGTATGTCCACATCCTCCCCATGAACACCCGGGTCACCGTCAAGGGAATCGCCGTCATCCTGCTGGAAGCCAACCAGTGAGTGATCAACCTGACGCCACCATCGGCCACTGACACCGATCCCAAAGTCAGACAGCTCTAAACCAACTGCCTACATAGTTTCACTGAGGAATACTGATATTCGTTATTTAGGGAAACCGATTTTTTTCTGAAAGTTTACAGCATTTTTTTTTAATTCTAACCTAATTATACCAACTGATGTGAGCCAGTCACTACTAGTATACCTGCGTTACTGACCACACTTTCCTTGACAGTCAAAGCTTCTTGGAAGATGCTTATGCTAGTTCATCACACAGTTTGTATCTCCTTTAATTTTCTGTCAGTTGTCCAGGAGCTGCCATGCTGCTCTTCTTCCTGCCCGATGGACAGACAGTCCTCCACACCGGAGACTTCAGAGCCGATCCCTCAATGGAGACCTACCCTGAATTACTCGGATGCAGGGTGCAGACGCTCTACTTGGACACCACGTTAGTCCCCGTCTGTCGACATTGAATAAGCCAGTGGGGCCACTGAATGGTTTCATTGTGCTGCTCTGTATATGTGACCATTCTGGTTTTGTTGTATGGATCAATATTACCTAAAACACGCACACGTTGTTCTCAGTTCATGGCCTTGATCCTCTCAAGCAAGGAACTCCGTAAAAGTGATGCAGAAGCCGGAATATGCGATTTTTGAATGTAAGCTCTTGTATTTGTTTAGCTACTGCAGCCCTGAGTACACCTTCCCCAGACAGCAAGAGGCCATCAACTTTGCGGTCAACACAGCCTTTGAGCGGGTGACGCTCAACCCACGAACACTTGTGGTGTGTGGATCCTACTCCGTGGGAAAAGAGAAGGTCTTTCTGGGTGAGTGTTTAGTCGAAATTGTACTCGGAATTGTGAGGGAAATTCTGAAAGCATGTTGTTTTTATCTTTTGTTGCTGCTTGTATCTCCTAAAATGTTATCATTATGTTTTTAAGGAATTTGAAAGATGCCTCATCTAACGACATATTTGGCGTTCTTAAACGTTTTCATAAATCAAGGAGTATGTAATCTTTATAGTTAATTTATCCATCCTTCCTTCCATGTTCCTTACTAAATACCAAAGCCGTTCATTCATCTAGCTCCCTGAGACGTAAGAACTAGGAAAGCACCCAGGAGGAATAAACTAAAAGGAAAACACACACACACACACGTCCTGACAGAGGCCCTGGGGCCCATTATTCAACATCAGTCTGCTGATTTGACAGGTTAATGATGAATGAAATGTTTTCTCATGACTTATAATATTACTGAAAATGACATGGTAATTTATTCATTTAATTCTAGTGATATTTCTGCGACGTGTCAGAAAGTATGTCCTTACCACCAGCACAAACTGTTGGATACAAACTAAATGTGTTCCTAAACCTAATAGTAATACAAGTGTTTTTTTCTTGCTTTGGAGAAAGTAAACTTTATCCTGAAATATAATGTACACATTGTTGGTGCGGCGCTCTTAACTGCACGTACACACGAAGTCTTACAATGAAAAGGCTGAATAGCCCACATTCCTTGTTTTTACGCGGACCTTGTTCTGCTTCATTCGTAGCTCTGGCAGAGGTCCTGGGCTCTAAAGTGTGTCTCTCTCGAGACAAACACAACACCATGTGCTGTCTGGAGTCGGAGCAAGTCAGGCAATGTATCACCACCGACTGGAAGGCAGCCCAGGTCCATGTGCTGCCCATGATGCAGCTCTCCTTCAAAGTAGGTGCAGCAGTCTCATTGTTAAGAAACAAAGTACACCAGTGATTAGAGTAAAACCACGAGCAGACGTATGTCGTCAGACCATGTCCCCCAGGGCGTTTCTATATTTATTCACTGCATATAAGTTCATGTATTTGGGTTTGACGGTT